AAAATTAGTATGACGCACAAGCAAGGGTAACTCTTTGGTGTTAGCAAATATATTGAGCGGCATGGGGTGAGTCCAGTGTTCTGAGTGGGTTGTTGATGTGAATTACGTATTCACCGACAACAGTCTTTAAAACAAAATTTGGCGCTGTATATGCTCAGGCAGTTTCTTTACACCGTAATGCTTCACTCGAACATGTGACAGGCATTGACAGCATATAAGCACGGCAACTTGGAAAGCTAACATGAGGTGGGCATCCCTAAAGAAAACTAAGCAAGCTTTGCAAAGCTTTCGTTCTAAACCGAACGTCACCATTATGACGTCATATCACACATTGTGACGCAAATGATGTGACGTCACAGTCGTATATAGAAAAGCGCCAAATGCCAAGCTCTCTGTTGTCCCCAAAACTTAAAATACTCTCTCTTTGTTGATTTCTATCGTTTTTTTCTGCACGAAATGTATTGCCACACATCTTTTGAATTTTGAATTTTGCAATTTGTAAGCTTTATTTGTAGGTATAATTTTTTAAATACGCCGACCGACAATGATTGAAAAAAGTTCTATTCTATGAATATTAGCTTCCGCAGTGATGCGGCCGTTAAACCAGCTGTTTTAATCAGAGGGGGTTTATTGTGATTTAATAGCCTCTGATTGACCAATCAGAATCGAGTAATTTCCAAATTCATGGTAGAATCTGTGATAACATGAATATTACGTGATATACAGTCCAAATCAGCGTAAGACCCATGTTCACTTACTCACTCACACTCAGTGCCGTCTGTTTCGAAGTACCTATGTATGATTAATCGAGATAGACATTCCATTTACTTACAATGAGTTGCCTACAACTTCTTTGCGCGAAAGTCAGCATTACCCCTCCACCTATACCACGGCCAGTCACAGGTCCCCTGATCTTTATAGTCCGCACCACAATAATCATGGACCCTCACAGAGCTTGCTTACGTATAATGAGTGTACTGTATTTCCTCGATTAAACAGGACGATGGGGTAGCCTGGAGGTTATAGTGTTCGCTCGTCACGCCGTAGGTGTATGTTTGATTCCCCACATTTTTAAAATACGTGAAGCCCATTTCTGGTGTCTCCCGGTCGTGAAATTGCTGGAATAATGCTAAAAGGGGCATAAAATCATACTCACTCATAGATTTAAACGCCGGGGTCTCGATTAACGCCTCCTGGTGGTGTCAGAAGTCCTCCACAGCAGAAATGACGACATTGTCATTTGAATAATGACTATCAGACAGTTTGGGAAGTATGGAAGAGGCGGAAATTTGACATCGCCTTTCCTGTCATGTATTTGATCAACATTTACCTTTGTGGTGGTAGTTGAATCTCGTTCTCTCTCCCAAAAACATAGATAAATAAAATAAATTAAAACAAATGCAGAATTGGGGTTCCAACAATATTAAAAGCATGTGTGGCAATAAGTTTTAAGTAAAAAATCACGATCGAAATCAAGGAATCATATACTAGTATCTATTTCACGACAGTGAGCAATGTTTTTTTCTCATTTTGAGACATTTAAAACATGTTTTTATACAAGAAAAGTATATTCACTAGAGTTGAAAATTATCGCCTTTTGTATTATTTCTAACACATTTCTTTTACAGTGGAGTTTCTACTTCAGGGTTACAGGACATGCATTAGACTAACCCAAGCTAAGCTAACTTTTAAACAACATAACTATATACTAGTATATATGACTATATATCATATATATATAATATATATTTATATCCTGGAAATTCGGTATATTTTGAGTTTGATGAGTTTTTTTGTCAGTCGCAGCAATGGATTCCTTTACGTGCAAAAAATCCCCAAATCGATCGTTAGGTAGTAATAGCTCTTTGTGATTTTAGAGTTAATAGGTTTTCGTAGTAGCTTCCTGTAGAATAGTTTCCTGTGAAGCTCATTGGAAATTAGCCAAGGATTCCCCAATGTGCTTTGCGCACGCATCCCGTGTCGATGTCAACATTGACAGGTCATCAATCAAAATGGATGTCGGTGCAACAGGATGTATAACAGACTTTGGCAGATAAATATAGTAAGAACATATTTCCAATACACAGGCGCAAAAATACAATATCCGCCCATGATATGATCAGAAAAAAGGTTACATGCAGTTTTTCTAGTCCAGAGTGAGTGAGTGTGTGAGTGTGTGAGTGTGTGAGTGAAGATTAGGGTGCAAATGGGTGGGTGAGTGAGTGAGGTTAGCGCCGCTTTGAACAGCATGCTGGATATATTATCCCGATGTGTCAGCTTCAGGTTGGAGGAAAACCTGATGTGATACAGAAGTTGAACGTTCATACATCCCTGCTATGTCCATATACAAGTTGTATATAGAGACCACCAGTCTGAGGACCCATGCTCACTTTCTCAACCATGGCCATACCATGAGTCACGTGATCATACCTTCGCCATAGAGATAGCACAGTGACGTGATTACACCGTTGCCTTAGCGATACCACTCACGTGACGATGCTTTCGACATAGAACCATAATAATTATGTGACGTTAGCTTTGTCAATAGCGATGCGATTTCTCCAAGTGACCATATACTTATACTTTTGCCATGGGTTTTTTTCAATTAAATTATCGCAAATGTTCGTAATACCTAAATATTTTTTCAGTAAACCTTTTGATTTTGTATATTTATCTTTTTTTAAATAACACGTGAATTCCCGTCTTCGGTTGCTTTGTCTTGAAACCTTTCTTCAATCTGTGTAACCTAACAATAGAGGAAATAATATACTAAATTCTTCGCCATTGTAAGCGACAGTGTATAGTAGGAGTATTATATTATAGTATGTGGGTTAGAGTGTGTGATGTACACACAACGTGGTATATTGTATTGTCGAGTATTGTTCTGTAATTTTATAATGTCTTCTTGTTTTTAAAATAAAAAATTTAAACGCCCGATTGATGTCATCTCAGACCATAATATAATTAAAAAATCATTTTACCTATTTCAGCAGGACTTTACTAAAAACGAGAATATAATAAGAGTTACGTCTCACACTCATGCACACGCTCAGATAAAAATAGGTGATAATTGTTCCCCTCGTTTAGTGTTTAATCAGTGACAGTTATAGGTAATTACTGTTATCCAAATAATCCGCGTTCAACTATCCGTTAATTGCAAGGTACGACAAACAATATCCAATTAACCGCGGTGTCGCTAATTAGCGCTGCAACCAGCACCTGTCGCGGCCACCCTTCTGTGGCCTATTCATCTAGTCTAATATCGCTTTCAATCTGTTGATTGCGTACTGAAAAGCATCAAATCGATCCAGTTTGCCCGCGGATGTACATTCTGGTTTGATGTGGATGGGTTTGCTATGGTCCATATAAAGTGACGCATCACATCAGACGGCGCACATGCTGCACGTGCACATCCCGTGCTGCACGCTTGTCACTCATCCGGGATCTGTTGTAAGGGTGCTGTTCATTTCGCCTTGCAACAGACAACTTTTCTCAATACAGGGCAACGTTTTAGGAAGAAAACATAAAACTGGGATTATTCTTTCCGACCCTTGTGATTCTACTCTGTCATGGACCGGAGAACTACTCAAAAGGTAAAGTAACAATTCTTGTAATAATAAAAATACAGATTAGCTTGTTTCAAAGTTTCTTTCGAAATCTTTGAGTTTAGTTCAATAAATTATTTAACCTTTATATTACAAAGTATTTAGTGATTGGTGTTAACGTTTATGATTTTCTTTAGGTTTTGTTTTAATGTTATATAGTTCAGAGAGCACATGCTTTATGTGATCATTGTTTAGACTCGGTCGGCTTCAGTAGCCGGGTTGTAAATCACCATATTTAAATTAAACATTTCGTTTCTTTCAAGCACTCAAATGAGTATTGTATTTACAATTGATGATAAATAGAAAATGTCAACGCCCGAGAATAACCATTCTCGATTTTCCGCCGAAGCAGATTCCATTGAGCGCAAAATGCTAACTAGCGTGAAAACCATGTGAATGGATCACTAAAAAAATCAGTGATGACACCACATCCAAACGTTCAACCCTGTTTACGCATTGCGTATTGCCAATGAATAATTTTGTTATAAAGTGTATTCGTATCACATTATATGCATTAATGAACAAATAGAATAATGTTTAAATCGTGAATACCAAGTGGCGTGTTTTCATGAATGAATTGAAAGTTACGCGTCTCATCGGCCATATTGCAACGGCAGCCTGTTTCAGCATTTAGACATTTTTTTTAATGAATGCTGGAAACGGGTGGGTATCGGGTGGTCAAGGTCCATTTCACAGGCGATTATGTTAATCGCACCCCGACATTAACCATTAGTTTGTCTAGTCCTGACTCGATTATTTAAAGGTATTCGACCGATACATATGGGTTTTTTTTTGATAAAGACGTTTCAATTTTTTAGGCAATTAATCGGTGATGTACTCTTTTTAGTATGCACGAAATGAGTCTTTTTACAAGATTGAGATAACGCACGACGATAAATCATTTGAGTAGTTCCTGAATATACATTATGTACAAACCCTGCTAAAACGAAGATAACTCCTTAATGGGAATTAAATTTGAAGCAAATTTACGTTATATTTTAATAGACAAGGTCAATGTTGGAGAACTAAACAGGAGAAAACAAAATAAATTGGTTAATTCACTAGAAATCACACATCCTCAGTACCACAAACAACGTCGCGGTGTGCATTCAAGAACGATAACTCAAATCCGGAAACATGGCGTACGCATGCGTAGCTTTACTGTTGTCAAGTTTGAACAGAAATGCAAAATGACTTGAGATATGGCTCTAGAACAACTAACGGAGCAGATATTGCTTTGTTGAAACATACGCAGTATCGATATCGCACGGTATGTTTACTAAACGGTGGTATTTATTATGTCAGTTAATTGATATGGCATACTTCAGTTGAATTATTTTCTGTGCGCTTTTCATGATGCGTCCAGGCATGTCGCCCTGAGCGATATCTGTCATACTCTGCGTTCAGTGGCATAACACAGTCTAGTCCCTCGCATTTGCGGACTTGATAGATATGCCATGTCATTTCGAAAACCTTCTTTGTGCATCTTTTTCGACCTGAAAACAGTATTGCAGTACCAGTGTAACGTTATCAGTAACGGTAGGTTTATATGTTATGGCCTATACTATAGGCGGATCCAGAGAGCGGGGTCTGGAAACACCACCCATATACATATATATATATACATACACACATGTATCTTTAGATCATACATTTTCAGACGGCCATGTTTATCGCGACTATTTGTGCTAGGCCTATAAGGGGGGCTGTAGCATCATGCAGACATTGTAAATACTCAGATGATGGCTTGTTTTGAAGCGAAAGTTGTCTTACATAAGTGAATGGTATGTTTTACAGTTATTCATGTGATAAGAGCGAAACTACACCTGTTTCTTAAGCGTCCGAAAACCCATAACGGCCTACCTTTAGAATACAGTACCACAAACTTTTCAAACACGTGACAGTACCCTATGACATAGTTTGTAGTATTTCGTTGCCATTCACACCGCCGAAACAATGCCCTGTGACATCAGGGGTCATCGAGTGTGCATAAGCTCCTCCCAGTGATCTATCATTCCCTATCATTTCTATACGCAATGTCATTTTACATACTTTTTTACTAAATATAGGCTGCGGCGGCGCATTTTATAGCGAGCACTAGTTTATGAAAGCACATTTATTTTCAATATATTTTTTATTTAGTTATTTTCGTGATTCAAGTGGCTAAAATGGTTATAAATCGGAACTAATATACATATATTAGTTTTTCGGTTCTTTAATTTTCATATTATGCACAAGAATGCAGTTTATTAGGTATATTATATTGGCGCTGAACATATCCAAATGTCGCCGGTGTTAGGTTAGGTTATTCCGAAATCTATCCTTAGCCCTTGGATCCCCTTTACGATCAATCACCCCTTTACAATGATTAGGGTTAGGTTCCCGTTTAGTGGCTATTAGATTACCTGAACTCTATCCTTAGCCCTTGGATCCCCTTTACAATCAATCACCCCTTTACGATCATTAGGGTTAGGTTCCTGTTTAGTGGCAGTTACAAATTCTATACCGGCTCCTAATATTCTTCACACAAAAACGTCGAGTCAAAAGGATGAAATATTTTGGCTACTGGAAACTGTCCTGGAACATTCACACAAGCCACTTTCACCTGCTACATTTTTTAGTACTGATTCAAAAGCGAACTCACCGTTGTGTCGTCACTGGCCATGCTTATTCCTCCCTCGTTCCGTACACTCATCCCCATCATCCTTACAGTGTTCCCTACCACATTTTTGCTGTCACAAAAATCACCCGATTGATTATTAAATACCATGTCATTCATGTGCACTCGTGGGTTCGACGTCTGATGCCTGGAGCTGTTTTCGCGCCATATCGGCTCATTCCTCACCACTCGGTATCTTGTAGATTACGGAATTGGACGAGTGTGACAAATGGCTTGGGATCATTCATAAGTGTACGTAGACTAAAGTCACGAGACACCTACCCGTAACCTTCATAAGTCGCATTCACCTATTCGACCCTTTTCGTTCAGTTCCGTAACGTCGTAGGCATGACAAGGTAAATTTACACTATGTTTCATAGTGTGGATGGTCAGTCGGTTAGCTCTCGGGCTAACAATCCGAAGGTCGCTGGTTCTCACAAAAACTGATTGCTTGTCTTTGAGACATGTGACCTACGGCAGAGATCGTCCTCATAAGGAGTTGTGGGACTGTATTCCAAAGGTGCTCCTCCATTACATGGGTACATATATATGTATCCCATTCAGTCAACACATTGATCAATGTGCCGGAAATAAAACACCAAATTTTGTGATATTCTCTTTTTACAAATGTGAAAATGATGCACTGAGAAAGATAAAAGAAAGTTAATGGTTTATATTTAATAAATATTTTGTGACTTAAAGGATACATGTCTTCAGACATAATTGATTATTTAATGAAATCTCTAAAGATCAGTTATCACAAGTCCAATGTAAATTCTATACAAAGTATGACTTGGTTAGATTTGAGTTTATTCCCTTTTTACAAATGTGAAAATGATGCACTGAGAAAGATAAAAGAAAGTTAATGGTTTATATTTAATAATTTTTTTGTGACTTAAAGGATACATGTCTTCAGCCATAATTGATTATTTAATGAAATCTCTAAAGATCAGTTATCACAAGTCCAATGTAAATTCTATACAAAGTATGACTTGGTTAGATTTGAGTTTAAAGCACATATTCCAATTTGCCCACGACACAGTTTTATGTATTTTATAAAAAGGAAAACTACATTCTAAATTTTCACTTGTGTAAAATTATAGCCAGCTTATCTCAAGTGCTGTTAATCTCTTTCAGGGTGCGGGCAGAAAGATGGCAACTGCTAGCTTCCTGGCCGGGAGTCCCTTGCAGGGGGGTGGGTCATCTCTTGCACAACAGCTGCCACAGCTGATGCAGGAAACAGAGTTGCAGAAGATGCTGACAGATGAACGGATGCGCAGTGAGCAACACAAAACCAACTACCAGCAGCTGAAAACAGAACACTCGAGGTGAGAGGATTAGGAAGGATTGTCATGCATTAACTATAAGGAGATCAATCATATTCAAATATGAGTTTTAAAGTATCACCTGCTTCATGCATTTTGTACTTGGTAATTTTTTTGGTCATTACATACGAGCATAGCTTCACATTACAGTTCTAACAATAATTAGGCCTATTAATTTGTGTTAGATGATATATTTGATACTCCTTAATGATCGTCTCATGTGACAATTTTTGATTTATTTATTATTCCTGTTTTGATGTGATCAGATTACAAGATGAGTACATGCAGCTACAAATGGAGGTCAAGAGCACAATTGAGGAGAGCCGCATCGTGCAGGAGAAGTACAAGAGCATGTTGGAGCAAACCAGGAGAGAACTTGTTGAGAGGACAGCTGAGATCGAGGAGCTTAGAGCCAAGGTCTGTAGCATGTCAGGGCAGTGGTTAACAGAGTAGTGATGGTGTCTGACCACCAGTCCATCAGTTGTAATCGTCATGTGGGATATCTCTGAAAATACTTCATTAATGATTATGATAATGCAAAATAGTTCATATAAGAAATTGTTTCTTTTTCAGATAAGTTTAACTCTGTGGTAATATGCTTTTGTGCACTGGTGCTGATTAAACTAAGATGCATGTACTACAGGAAAGATATTTTTGTGCACAGTGATGAGGATGAATATTGTGTATACATCTTTTAATGTTGTTTAAGTAGATACATTTGCCACAAGATCATAATGATGTTTATTATCATAATGCAGTGAAAGGAACACTGTTTCTGACTTAGGTGTTTGTCGGGTTATTTTGCCATGGAAAGTTAAAGATCTTAGGTTTGTTCATGTGGGTTTCAAAGTTGTAAATATCTACTTTCCTCCAATTTTAAATTTATGTTCTGTGATATAATTGAAATACTGCTCAAAGAGGCATTGAACCCAACTCTAGTGTAGTTTTCAATGCTGTCCCTTGTTACAGGTAGTGACCCCTCAGAGACTGGAGATTCTCAAGCTACAGGTGACGGAAGACCTGGAGAAGACATACCGGGATAAGTACTACAAGCAGGAGCAGGAGATTGAGGAATATCGCAACTCACTCAATAAAGTCCGATACGAGTTCTCCTTCCTGAAGTCTGAGTACGAGCATGACAAGCTGGAGAGTCAGAGAGTTGTGGAGGAGCTGAAGATGCAGCATGATGCAGAGGTAGGTCTGATGGGGTTGGCGTATAAGAAGAAATAAATGCAATTTGAAATTTTGAATAATAATGCATTTAGGATGGGATGTACCTCAACAGTTGCATCACAGATCTCATTGTGTCTTTGTGTTACTTAAGGACATGAGGGACAGACTGATATGGGTGACTGAAGCAAATGTGAATTACTGATATGAATTTAAAAATTCAGAGGATAGAGTGTGGTGTCCAGTTTTGTTACTTCTTTTTCTGGGGGTGGTAGGGTAGCCTAGTGGTCAATGCGTTACTTTTGTTACGCCAAATGCCTGGGTTCAATCGATTGCAGGAAGTGGGTGTTTCAACTGTATGGTCATGTTGTATGTTCTATGGCACTTTTGAGTTGTATCCCTTAAATATGTACCTGTGTTGGTCCATGTCTCTGCAAACCTAAGAAGTTATGTGATGCAAAAATGTAAAAAAAGAATTCCCCATATGGGTTCAATATGGGAAGCCCGTTATAATATTTGTTGTAATATTGCTACAAAGGATCAAAATCATGCTTACTCACCTTCTTTTCTGCTTTTATGGAATATGTATAATATTTAGAATACTGTTGTATGGTGTCTATTCCATATAGGTGACCAACCTCCGTAAAGAGCGGGACACGACAATCAATCGCATCACGACCGAGAACACGGCAGACTCTCAGAAGGTGCGAGTGTTACAGCGGGAGAATGCTCAGCTCCACCTCAAGCTGAAGAGTCTGCTGTCAGAGATGGAGGAGATCCGGGCTCAGAGGGAGAAGATAGGACTGGAGTCGGACAGTGTCACACGCATTCAGTCCAAACAGCTTTCAGAAAACACTGCAGTCATCAAGTCACTTGAGGTGGGGCATAATAGCTCAAACTGTCACTTTTTATATGCTCTGGTAAAATGTTCCACTGATTTAGTAGGTCAAGTCTTATGAGTTAGCTTCGCACACAGTGCAAGTAGCTGGAAAACAGGAAAGTATTGGAATATTTTTGGAAGGAAATATATGTGTGCATTGTCATACATGAAGGATATTTATTGATAAAAAACATGTTTATATGGCAGTAGTTGTAGCTCAGTGGTTAAGGTGTGTACTTGTCATGCAGACCTTGTCAGTAGTTCCTTGCTGTGCTATTGCTTGAATATTGCTAAAGGTGTTATTAAACTGTATGACCAGTGAAGATCTGGGGTAGAATAGGTCTTCAGCAACCCATGCTTGCCATAAAAGGCGACTATGCTTGTCGTAAGAGGCGACTAACGGGATCAGGTGTTCAGACTCGCTGACTTGGTTGATGCATGTCATTGTATCCCAATTGCATGGATCGATGCTCATGATGTCAATCACTGGATTGTCTGGTCCAGACTCGATTATTTACAGACTGATGTCATATAGCTGGAATATTTCTGAGTGTGGCGTTAAACAACAAACAAAATTAAGCTGTATTATATTAGAGTTGATGACACATCAACTTTTGTATAGAGGAAGGTTTTTGTTTGTAGGCTGAGAGGGAGTCCCTGCGTCGTCAGTCAGACAGCCTCCAGAGGGAGCTGTCTGGGACGGGGGAGACCCACAACCGCCTCACGGGGAAGATCCATGAGCTGGAGAAGGAGAACCTGGTGTTTAAGAACAGAGTGGAGGAGCTGACACACAAGAACAAGGTAGAGCTGACCAATCTGAAGATGGAGATGCTGAAACAGAGGGGAGATCTGGAGAGGGAGCGGGACAGGCTAGCTAACATGGTGGAAGGTGGGCAGAAATTGGCTATTGCTGACTTACTCTCTGTCTCTCAGTTGTAGTGGTTGACATGTTCCACAATATAGGACAAAAATGTTGATTCTACTTGTACCTTATGTCATTGCTATGTGGAGGTTTAGTTTTAAGAGGGACTTTACCAGATCTTACAGATTTCTTTACAAGATCTTACAAGATTGAAAGAAATTTTACTTGAGACCAGTGTTGTTGTGGGTATTTTTGTGTGCTGCCTGTTGTTCCTAAATGCCAATGGAGGTGTTTTCAGATCTTCATGCAGGGATGTATTATGTTGTAAAAGATCTGATTTTGATGAGATTGAAAGAAAGCACTGTCCTAAATTTTGTTTAGTCCATTTATTATTCACCCTAACCTCAGGGGTCTTCCTATAGGTTGATGTCAGTATATATTCTCAGTGGTTTCCATGCAAGCATGCTACAATACTTGTTACTTTCTACAGATATGCAGACCACCGTTGAAATCTCAGAGCATAAGATAGAGCAGCAGAGCCTGGCCCTAGAGGAGAAGGAGCGCGAGGCCGTGAGACGGGTGCAGGCCGCCAGGGAGGAGGAGTTCACCAAGTTCACACAAGCTGAGAATGAAAAGTCAGTCTCTTGTCCTCCATTTAAGATTTTAATAATAATCACCATTCAAATTTGGGAATATTTGTTTGTTTAAAATAGGCACAATGTGGATTTGAATATTGATGGGTATGTGCATGATATCACCTTCCCTGTTAATATCATTTTATTGATTTATTCAAGATTGGAGTTGGAAGCTAAGCTTCAAGAAGTAGACAGAAAAAAGATTGACGAGGAAGCTGCAAGACATGTTGCACAGGAGCGTATGGGAGAAAGAATAGCAGCAGCCAACAGTGCTCGCGATTCAGCGGAGAAGGAACTACTAGTGCTCAAGTAAGGACTTGTTAAGATGCCTCTTTTCTTTGTTGGGCCACATTCCTATTCATTGCTTTCTGATTCAAAATTGCTTTTTTGAAATCAAAATTATTTTTGCTATTTCTACTAACCCACCTTTGCATATGGAGCATTTAATCTTTTAACTCAAGAAGAAAACCTTTGTTATCAGGTTATTATTTTATGTACCAGTATACTACATATGACTGATTGTGATTTTGTTTCCAGGACACGAATACATAATTTCGAGTCTCTTCAAAGTCAGTTGGAGAGAGAAAGAGGAGAAAATTCTGATCTTAAGAGTAAAATCAGCAAGCTTGAAGATGAGTTGGGTGGATTCCTAGGAAATGAACATGACATGACTGATCAAGTTATAAAGTTAAGGAATCAAAACGAGTTGTTGAAAGACGAACTAAGATTAACGCAGGATCAGATGGTGAAGATTCAGGACAACCATGATCGTATTGTGGCCCAGCAGAGGGCAGCACTGGTGGATGAAAAGACACAGCTAGGGTTAAGGGTTCAGGACTTGGAGGAGAAGTACAGCAATGCTCATTCTAAACTACAGAAAGCAGCATCTATTCATAAAAAGGTGAGACAGTGAGTCACAGTTGTAGCACTGCAGTTTCTGCCACTACAGTTTGTTTTATGTTTTGTTGATCTTCAAATATAAGCCCTGATCCAGAGATATATAAAGGCAAAATGATCTCGGCATTCATGCAATATCAATGTACGTTCCAGCATACGTTTGTTTTTAATGGGTGGATATGCTGTCACACATTTTCAGTTGTGTATTTGCATGAGCAGTTGTCATTGAAACAATCTCCTATGATACATAAGATACCAAATGTAAACTTTTGCTTTTAAAATCAGTGAGGAAAAGGAAGTTTCAGAGGAGTAATGAGGAGGTTGTATATGACATTAGCGGTATATTCTTTTGGAACACATTAAAGAGTGTTTCTCTGCCATTTACTAGTATGAGTCTTCTTTGTTTGCATGTTTTGGTTAATTAACATCGCCATGATTTTCTGTGTTGGATAAAGTTTGTGTTTGTATCCTGACTGAAGGTATGACAGTTGTTTGTTTTCTCTGCAGTACAAGAAAAAGCATCACAGGGTTACAGAACACCTCCGAGAAAAACTGCAAGTGCTTGATGCTAAGAACACAGAGCTAGACCTAGAGAAACAGGCACTTTCGTAAGGAGACATTTTTCAGTTGTTCAACTTATTATCAATATATGTCTACTTTGATTATGATTGTGAGAGATGGGCCGCACTACAGCCAGGAACATTGAACTGGAACAGTCTTCAACTTGAGCCCCTAGACAAAGTCAGAGTCTAGTAGGGTTCTGTTCTGTCCAGATAGCTCACCTATAGAAGCTAAAAATAGCTGTTATAATTACATAAACTGAAAAAGATGCCAAGACTCAATGTTCAGTCTTCAGGCTAGTGTTTCGCACATATTGCCAAAAATGTGAGATCTGACTTTGTGTGAAGTTGGTTTGAGATAGTGTGTCTGTTTTTCTCCATGAGAGCTGTTGTTATATATACTTTCACAGGCATCTCGGTTACAGCTGATTTTATTTATACTTCCACAGGTAGTGTTTTTCTCGATGACAGCTGTTATATATTCTTCCACAGGCGCTGTGTCCCCCAGGATGCTTATAACCGTCTCAAGAAGCAGTGGAAGGACTTGTACCGGCGCCACCAGGAGTTCCGGGCCATGTTGCTACCCGGTGTCAGGCACGTCAACATAGGGGACAAATCCTTTGCCACCATCAATATGCCCTTTGATGCCTCACTGCCAAACTGGAGTGTCTTAGATTTGGTGAGATATAATTATCAAATTTGAATGTAGAGTGTGTAGATTAATCATACACCAATGAACACTTTGTATTTGTGGGTTGTTATAACAGTTTGTACACTTTGGTGTAAAACCCCATTTTCCCAATCAATTATTGACTGCAGTCATTGCCTAACATAAATACATTGCAAGCAGCAACATTTCAGAAGGTGATCTTTGTGCTAAGACAGCCATGATTACAGAACTTTACATTGTCTTATTACATCAAGTTTATTGCCAGGGATAATATGACAATGTTAAGGTGCTCACACATCACAAATTTAGCTCTGTGTCTGTGTTGGAAGTTTTGAAGTTACAGCATGGTAAAAATCGTTGACATGTTGACATACCGTATTCAATGCAATAAGCGCCCAGGGCACTCTCAAAATTAGAAATAGGGGACTCTTATTAGAATATTATTTTGGTGAAAAAAACAGAGTTGAAAGATAGATTTCGTGGTTATGGTGACAGCCTGAAATGTTTATGTACGACAGATATATTTTTCCAGAATTTAATTCCCCATAATTAAGGGTGCATATAACACATGACTGTGCATTATACGCGAATAAATAAGTCTTGTATACATTGATCAATTGGAAGGGGTGCTAATTGGGATTGTTCACTAGCCAATATATCAGCAAATATCGCTGTGGGCGCTTATTACGTCGAATACGGTAACTGTGGTTGTTGGGGCATTCTTTCAACTTTGTTCATTTGTGCTGGTGACAGGAGCGAGAACACCAGGATGACCTACGACTGCTGAAGCGGCGCCTGGACACTCTGGACGACACACAGAGGCAACAGCTGCAGGAGCTGACTGAGATCACTAACAAGTCCTTCCGCCAGTCACAATTTGACGGCCATGCTACGCTGACCAAGGCTGACCTTGATAGTCGGAGTACACTTCGAGACAATGTGGAGGACTCCAGAGAAAAGGCAGATGAAGAAAAGGCCTCCATGTCCATGTGATCCTTAACAACTCAAATTACAGATCAATAATTTTCATTCTCTTTAGATGAATCGGTTATACTTTTTAGAATTTCTACATCTTTAAAATATATTAAAAAGTGTTGCTAAGAATGTCTATATTATCTCAGGTTCTTTTATCTTATTGCTTATAAAACGGTATTGTGTCATCTTTTTAAGTGCCTATTTACTCTTCCCACTCAGTTTTTCAGGGTATCTGAGAGGCAACTGTATGTTCGGATGGTATCCCTTTGTGTCTGGATTCATTAGATCTGGACGTGTATTGCTATTTTATTCAGTGAAGTGAAACTGAAAGTGATGAAACATGGGGCAGAATGAAATTGTTTTGTATGTCATTGTTATATTATATATATTGTAATATATGTATAGATAAAATCAAATATGTCTGAATGAGTGTGTTTTTTTAAAGTTTTTGACCAACAGAAAGAATGAGAATTTTCACAAGGGGGGAGAACTTGAGATGAACTAAATGCCATTTTCATCACATCTGCTCTCCATCAGGATCCCAGGAAGATCCCTTCCATCCAGTGTTTGTTGTAAAGAGGACAGGGGTGGTCAGTTAGCCTAGTGGTTAAAGCGTTCGCTCCTCATGCCGAAGACCCGGGTTCGATTCCCGACATGGGTACAATGTGTGAAGCCCATTTGTGGTGTCCCCTGCCATGATATTGCTGGAATATTGCTAAAAGCAGCCTAAAACCATACTCACTCACTCACTCACTCACTGTAAAGAAGACAATGTAGTCACACACTGTGACCAATCTCATCATAGTCAGTGTTCACGCTTGCTCCACAAAGATCTGAGAACATCCAGTTACAGGTTAACCTCTAAAACATAGGGCATTCCAAACAACAGTTATGGGCTGTGTGTCTTAATGCTGGACATCGTTTATCTGTCACTTCAATGGGATAAGCATTTGAAAAGAAAGACACTTTCCATAGCCTGTGGGAAGTACTGCCATACAATCTTGGCCATCTATTAAACACTCCAAAATTGTCTCTTGTTCAGTTTTCAAATGTTGAATGGAGATCTAGTGCTGATTGTTGACTTCCTGTAAGTCGTTTCATTGGTCAGTTTAAGTTCGTGAAAGGTTCATATCTGATGTTACCTGTAATGGGATGATTTGTTTATTGTTTAAAGCCGCACTCAGCAATATTCCATCTATATGACCGCTGTAAATAATTCTGGACCAGACGATCCAGTGGTTGACATCATAAGCATTGATGTACGTAATTGGGACACGATGACATGCATCAGCGAAGTCAGTGAGCCTGACCACCCGATCCCGTTGGTCGCCTCTTGCAACAAGTATAATCGCCATTTATGGCATAATGGGATGTCATCAGATCTTTCAGTGAGATTTATTCTGTGACTGTCCTGATGGCAGCGATCTTTTCTTTTTTTAACAAATTACAAACTCATCTCTAATATATGAAAAACAGTTTATTCCTATTCTGCAGTAAATATGTTATTTCAACATGTGAAAAGTTGCATTGTTACGTCACACTCAGTTCAACAAAGAAACACCTCAAACTGGGTTGTTGGGCATGTAGCCCTTGAAGGTTCTGTACAGGTGATAAGTAGCATCAGGCAGGGAGCGCTGTACATATGAAGACTTAACTACAGATCCAAACCAGCACTTTACAATACATATGACAGACAAATGTTCATGTCATACAATTGGGGGAGGGATGGTTTATGAAATGAAAGACAATTCTTAAAAAGGGAAAATGATCTAATTCAAGGAATGACAATTATTTCTACAAATACAAAGTAGCCGTAGACACAAATACACAGAGAATCTCACCGGAGTGTCTTTTGATATCAAATATATCAACACTAGTCCATAGCTTGCCGAGGATTTTTGCCACTTTTATCAATGAGTGTTGATATATTTGATATCAAAAGACACTCGGGTGAGATTTTATTTATCATCCAACATCATTCTCACAACTTTTTCAATTTGTAGACAGTAATTAGCAGTGTCTTCAGTGTAAAAAGTACTGCTTATAGCTTTAGTAGCAGAGCCATTAGTGATGTCATTTGATAGTGACGTCATGGTAATCAGTCATGTCACAATGGTCTGCAAAGCATTGTAATGTAATTTCAATGCAGCAATATCTACAGTGTAGATATAGCTTGATCTCATCCAAGCGATATCTCCTGTGGGAGCCAGTTTTGGATGATAAATTCTTCATATGACAACACTTTGTGCATTTTCACAAGATAACTTGGACAAAGAGTTGAAAAAATCTTCACAATATGTATGCATTACTACAAAGAAGTTGCAATCAACAGTACATATCTTTCAGTTTCTGAATACCTCTCAGATGCATGAACTTCTGAACACATATACAGGAAACTGGGTTTCATCGTAGGGGTCCACACAAATTACACCCCTAAGGCCTCCCCACCCACACCCACACACCCCCCCCCCCCCCCACACACACACACTCAGCTTGTATTACTTAGGACATTTATGGACATTCTCCACAGTATCCTCCACGAGTGAGTGTTTGTTGTTTAACACTGCACTTAGCAATGTCCAAGCTATATGACAGCGGTCTGTATATAATCGAGTCTGGACCAGACAATTCAGTGATTGACATCATGAGCATCGATCCACGCAGTTGAGATACGATGACATGCATCAACCAAGTCAGCGCGCCTGACCACCTGATCCCGCTAGTTGCCTTTTACAACAAGCATCGGTTGCTGAAGACCTATTCTATCCCGGATCTTCACGGGTCCCCAACTGTAATAACAAACTAACATTCACTTTAATAACCACCCGATATTGACATTAATAACCACCTGATACTGACATTAATAACCACCTGCTTCTTACTTTAATAACCACCCGATACTGACATTAATAACCACCTGATTCTTACTTAAATAACCACCCAATTTTGACATTAATAACCACCTGATACTGACATTAATAACCACCCAATTCACACTTTCATAACCACCCAATTCTCATTTTAATAACCACCCGATACACACTTTAATAACCACCCAATACACACTTAAATAACCACCGGTCCTCACTTTAATAACCATCGATCCTAACTTTAATAAATACCGATCCTAACTTTAATAACCACCCAATACACACTTTAATAACCACCAATCCTCACTTTAATAACTACCGATCCTCACTTTAATAACCACCCAATACACACTTTAATAACCACCAATCCTCACTTTAATATACACTTCACAACATTACTCCCAGTCTCACAGAAACATGATCATATGAACAGTTACAAAAACATAGAGCATATGAAGTTACAACTCGGCGATTCCACAGAAGAATCTTTAATCTGCAGACATTGCATGTGACAAATACACCACACCATATCAACTTATATTTAACTCCCATAAGAATCTTCAGAACAAATGGGAATCTTGATAAAATCCTGGTTGCAGCTTATGAAACTTGCTCAGTTTCTAATAAGACAAATATACCACATATCTATGAGAAAATACCACACCTGGGCCACTCTATTGGCATGTTTTAAGTGCTGACCTGTTGCCCATATGGTTCAATCCTTACTTGATTGACTCCACATGACCGAATGATTGAGTGAGCGACTGAGTATGTTTTTTTGCCGCCTTTAGCAAGATCACAGCAGGGGACACTGGAAAATGGGCTTCACACATTGTACCCATGTGGGGAAATGAACCCAGATCTTCGGAGTAACGAGCCAACACTTTAACCAGTAGGCTACCCCACCGCCCCTACCGAATGAGTGAGTTTGGTTTAATGTCGCTTTGAACAGTTTTTCAGTAATATTCTGCTATGTTAGCTTAATGTTTACCATTTTGCTGAAACTCGAAAGTTAACTCAAAGAAGTGACCAAGTACAGCAAACATAAATCTACTTCTCAATGTTTGATGGGGACACTAAGGTATTTCATATCTACACAGACGTATTCTATGCATTTAGCCGATCTCATAATAATCACATCTTTTTAACTTCTACTTTGCTACAGTGACGCTCTTTATGACAACACATCCGTTGCAGGTTGCAAACTGAGCAAACTGTGACTGCCCAATCCAAATCTCTCTTGGCTCTTTAGCCAATCAAATGTCAGTGTTCTAAAACAAGTGGATTCATTTCTTTACCACTTAATTCGGATATTTCGATCTTAGCAAAAGATAACAGCCACAGCAGACAAATATCACTTTCATAAAATGCCCTAAGTTCTTACAAGTATCCCCAAATTAAAAACAGAAACACTTATTATGCTTATTCTCTAAGATCTGAATTTCATACACATGAAGGCGCATTATGTTTACTTTAAGTCAGGAGTTGTTTGTTGCTGTTACTATTATGACTCTTGCAGCTACAGCCCCGACATCACAGATGGTTGAGTGCAGAGTTGCTAAAACAAACATTACCATGGTTATGAATACACAATGCCATTTAGAAAGTGGTCAAATGTAACAAATGTTATATTTGGGATAACACTTTCTTAGTAAAGTACAGATTCTCGTACTTTTTGGGGGGACTCAGACCAAAAAAAGTACGAGATTCTGTACTTTACTAAGAAAGTGTTATCCCAAATATAACATTTGTTACATTACCATGGTTACCACGGTAAAACAACTATTCAGATTGTTGACAAAATATAGTAACATCTGCCGTCAATTACGTGCTGACGAGGTTGCCTCTGGTTAATACGATTGTTAAATTGTGTCTGTACCTGTACATAGCAACATGCATAAAAGATAAACAGTAAACTACGGTTATAACCAACTCAAGGGACCACTAGTATCAGTTCGTTATAACCGTAGTTCGTTATAAGCATTTCAACTGTCAGACATCTTGGATCAAGTCATGTGACCGCATCATGTGACTTGATAAACTGTTTTAAATATCCAGCTCAAAGGCTATAGCCCAATCACCGTTTAACTATTGTTAATTGAGGGTGTAAATTGAGGACAAGGTGTCGGTATTTAATCCATTAATCACCTGCCTTCAATTGCTCACTGCCACTTTAAATAACCACCTGTGGCCATGGATGCTCTGATAGGCTGATTGTTGACACGTGAACAGTTCAGAGATTAACAGTTCATTATAAACATAAACATTGTCGTTGAAGGAGTACACCCGGGACTACAAAATCAGTTTGCCATATCCATCTTTTCGTTATAAGCATGTTCGTTATATCCATCAAGTTTATATGAGAAAATATACAGCAAATGGCCAGGACCAAAAATACAGTTTGTTATATCCATCAGTTCGTAACAGGTATGTTCATTTTAAATGTAGATCACTGTAGTCATACCATCCTGTTTATAGGTTTGTATAGACATGCACATCCAGACAGAAGCACAGCGCCATGATGTCCATACATAGGATGTGTATGGAACAGGTACTAAGTCCTTGAATAATGTTGATCTTCCACAATCAAAAGTTCACACCGGTAATTGAGTGAGTGCGCATTGGGTTTAATGCCACTTTCAACAGTTTTACAGTTATATCACAACGTGTGAGCTTAAGAGGGAGGGAAGCTCGAAGTGACAAGGGTCTCAGACTTTTACCACTTGGTGAAACCCATAACCACGGGTATGGCGCTGACAAACCTAGAAACATAATCAGGATGCACCGAGATTTGAAACCACAATCATAGGTTTCTGGCTTGGCCATGGGAAGCAACTCTGCAGAGTGAATTGCAGAGCCTTAGACGACTGGGCCCCACCAGGCTTCCCTCAATGAATTAGAGACAGACTACCATGTTAGGAGTGCCGCACACGGCAAAATGGTCTCAAAAAGACATTTAACTTTTCTGATTAAAGAGTTCAAAGAAAATATATAACCCTCAAGCACATCAAGTATACTGAGGCTGCATAATTCGACAGTCATCATGACTAGAAAAGAAAAACAAACCTAGTCTTGGCACAGGCGCCTCATCAAACAACTACAGACATATTGTCTGATTATAAATGCAATCAATGTTGAAACATCTTAAACAAATAGTTGATGGGACATCTGACAAGCAAAAACATACTTTGTGTTTGGATGATGAACACATTTTGAAGATGAGTGAGTTGGGTTTCACGCTGCTTTTTAACAGTATTCCAGTTATATCATGGCTTGTCAGCTTAATGTGGAATGAGTGATGCAGGTCTCAGACATTTACCACTTCGGTGAAACCCATGAGCACGGATATGGTGCTGACAACCTAGAAACATAATCAGGGCAAACCCGGATTCGAACCCACAATCATAGGTTTCTGGCGTGCCCAAGTGACGCAACCCTGCACAGGGAATCATGGCGTCTTAGACGACTGGGCCACCCGTGCCCCTATTTTGAAGATGAAGTTCAGGCTATCATTAGCACATGTTACAAGCCCTTACAGACTCACTCATCATCGATGATCCAGTGTATTATACCTCCTTTCTATCATCATACATACCCTGGACCCATTTGTCACTGCCTGAATCAGGCTTGAATGAGATGACACTAATAATAGACGCCCTTAACACAGGAAAAAATCCTAAAGTGAGGAATCTTGTAGCTTTTCACCTTACCACTTTGGTGAAACCACATGCCTGAGTATGATCAAACCAAGGATCATAATTGGGCCTAATCTTGGTGCTCAAACCCAGATAGCAGATCCTGGCAACCATGGGAGACAACCCTGTACAGCAAATTATGGTACTTACAACAACAGATTACTCATGTGCCCCAAATCATCCATATATCACCGAAGGTAAGGGAAGGACTGACAATTGACAACATGCCATGGGAAATGTCTACATACAGTTCGTTTTTTTGTGAAACATATGTGTATTTTTGCGGGATATGTATTTCCATGTCTCCCCTGCCGTTCTACAAACGGAAACATTAAATGATCTTATCACAATCCTCTCACTTATCATCAGTTACTTTTGCAAATGATGTAAAATAGATGGTTTTTCTTCTTCAAAATTAATAACAAATGCAATTAATACTGAACATGTACTTTCATGGCTGTATATAGTAAAACAAGAAATTGGCTACATTGTGAAAATGTATCCACTTTTTTCAGTCTTTTTAACAACTAACACAGCTCATGATTAAGTACAAACTTCACACAGTAGGCCAGGCTTTTTTAATTTTTAGGATTACGGATTTTTCAGCCCAAAGTCCAGGGTTGGAGGAGGGGAAAATTTTCTAATGCAGAATGCCTCTGGCATACTTTATGAACATATTCTGTGCTCAAAAGACCGCCATTTGTGACATTAAAGCCTCTTGTAACAATAAAATTTCTACCACTTACAACACAGACAATTGTCAAGGGAGGCTATTTATGTTCGGCTTTGAGATCAACAAAGATCGATTATGTATCTCTTTACTAGTTTACAACGGTAAATTCATATGTTTTTGATTTAAAGGTGATCATAACAAATAAAATAACTGACTACGCAGCTATCGGCGGGGGGGAATGAAATGTGAATCTGATTTATTTTTTACATTTTCTCAAAAATTAGTGTTGGCAGGTCCGTAATCTGAAAAATATAAAACGCCTGGCCGTATAATACTTACGCCCATTTTCTGCAAAATATACAGTTATAATTAAATATAACAACTGTCTCAACATTCCAAACATAAATCCCTTGTCCCATAATGCAACTGTAGCTCCTGCTGGAAATGGCCAGTTTCAGGGTCAGTCATTGTTCGTTGTCATACAGCTTGACCTCAGCGACACTGAGGCGCCCCCAAATACTGATCCCTGCCTCTGTGTAGTGAGGTCAACTCCCAGGCTCTTTGGCAAGAGTAAGAATAAGATCCTTGATGCTTGTTCGTTTGTTGGATATGGAATTGACAGTCACAGCATCAGCTAGTGGGATGCCGGCAAACTCACAGAACTCCTTACAGAGGTGTTCGGACACTGAGATCACATACATTCCACAGTCATACCCTGTAAGAGAGCAAAAGAAATTAAGACATGATTTGAACTGTTGATATTCTATGTTGTATTAAAAGGTCCAAGCTTAATCATGTCATTCGTAAAAATGTTTTCAAGTCTTTTTAGTTTCTTATATGTTTTGTGGCTTATACCAATGACTAATTTGATCATAATTTCTGTTACAGTTTTATACGTGTGGACCAAAATAGATAATCCCTGCTTATTAATGAACTGAAAATATTATTTCCAAAGACGTGTTTTATAATAGGAATGAAGTTTAAGCTAAAGCAATACTGGTGTGTGACACTGCCCATATCAACAGGACCACCAAACAGTGAGTGAGTGAGTACGGTTTTACACCGCTTTTAGCAATATTCCAGCAATATCACGGCGGGGGACACCAGAAATGGGCTTCACACATTGTACCCATGTCGGGAATCGAACACGGGTGTTCGGCGTGACGAGCGAACGCTTTAACCACTAGGCTACCCGACCGAGCCGACCACCAAACAGGCACTATACTGTATGAAGCTCAGATTTAACCAATTATGACAATGGATGGTCTTTTGCAAAATATGTGTTAAGCTAGCCCAGATTATTAAAACTACAGTGATGAACAATCCATAAACATGATAAAAAGTATTTAATGCTTATATTTGCAGCAGTGTTACTGAATTGTGTAAGATTTGTATCAGATCTTTTACTCCGACACAATACCTGTGTGCTTGAGGACCTCAGTGGTGGATCCTGAGGAGTTCACCCCCCACCTTTTTTATATCTTTGTTGTTTAACGCCGCACTCAGCAATATTCCAGCTACACTGTATATGACGGTGGTCTGTAAATAATCAAGTCTGGACTAGACAATCCAGTGATTGACATCACAAACATCGATCCACGCAATTGGGATATGATGACATGCATCATCCAAGTCAGCAAGCCTGACCACCCGATCCCGTTAGTCGCCTTTTACGACAAGCATAGTCGCCTTTTAAGGAAGCATGGGTTGCTGAAGACCTATTCTACCCCGGATCTTCACTGGTCTTTTTACATCTGATGACATTTTGTATGTGCATTGCCTACTATAACATTTTGATTTGGTTATTAAAGTTAAACAATAATGGTTACATATAGTGTTTGTGATTTTGAAGGTAGGTTTTTGGGTGGAAAGCCCCCTGAAGTTTCAAATGGCCTGAGTGGACCCCTTTTTTAAATTCTGGATCTGCCTCTGGACCTGACAAACACTCCATTGGAGGTTGCGTCAGTTTAACCCTCAGCCATTTTTCACAGCACAATAAATAATTTTGGAGCCAATCAGATGACACGTTTTGAAAATGATTTCTTCAAAAACAAAACACAAATATTTCCAGCCTTGTGAGCATAGATGCCATGGCATCCAAAATCAGCTGGTTGTATAAGATATCCATAATAACATAAATACAATGCCTTTATTATTTCCATTTGAATCTGGCCATTTATGTTCATTTTCGAGATACAGGAATCAGATATGCTGCTCTGAAAGTTCTGTTCACTCGTAGTGAGAATTTAGAAGATTTGTTGCAGATTGGCTGATTAGAAAGTTCACCTGACTTGACCTTCTATGGAGAGTTTTTCAGATCTTGAAGCAGAGATCTCATCTAATGAGATAGTTGTTACCATGGTAACTAAAAGATGAAATATGTCACGTATACCATTCTGTTGTTGCGGACAATCCATTTCCACAAACTTCATCCTGCCGTAAGGAGCTGAAACAAGTTTAATATTTTACCAAAACCGATAAAGACTTGGATCAACAAACTCACTAACCATACTCATACAAACGGTGCCATCCAAAGTACAATCATACAGAGAAGCACAGAGAAAACAAAAATAACTTCTTTCTCATTGCCTTTTTAAAAACCTCACTGGATAGGGAGAGAGTATAATGTAACACATGTACCACATGTGGCATCTCCTTGGGCAAGTGACTTTGTTCGAAACGTGCCTCTGTTCACCGAGCAATGAATGGGTATCCAGTAGGATGAGATGGCAATGTGGTTGTTAACCTAGCGCCAAACAGGCAGCTTGGGTTGTATACTCCCCAGGGAGCTGAGAATGATTCTTGAGTGCACATTGATGCAGAGACTAGGTTACCATATTTTCTTGAGAATAGTGCGCACCCAAGTGCGCTACCCCCTCTAGCGGATTCAGTATTTTGGCAAAAAAAGGGCTGTTGAAATATGGGCAATATAAATAGCCTATTATTATTATTATTATTATTATTATTATTATCTCAGATACCAATATAAAGACCCATCAACTTTGCGTGAATCATGTGAAATTGAAGAACAAGTACCATGAAGCGATATGCTAATGGCAATGATCACACAAAAGCTGATGAGGCTGAATATATGAAATCAGGCATGTTGCTACAATTTATACCGTCAGAAAGAAGCCAAGTAAACATTAACTTTACTTGTGAATGGCGATTCTACGCATCAATAGCATCATATTAGGTTCTAAGTTTTACATGATCTCTCAGAGTGTGGCACCATATTTTCATGATGAAGCGATCCTTGCCCCCATCTGCTCAATCTGTTGACAGAACACTGCACTACTCACCATGCACATGAGGTTGCAGCCTGTAGGCCAGTTTTTTGGCAATGGCCTCGTTACTGTGACCGGCTGAATCGTAATGACGGAACTCCTGGGAGCTACGCACATACACAAGGAGACTCCTGAAACAGCGATAATTGTACATTCCCTTCCTTCTGTAAACATAAGCATCGCTAGGAGTGGTCAGGTGAGATGAAATGGGATTTAACGTCGCGTCCAAGATTATTGCACTTATATAGCAACATAAATGCACATGTGTTTGCTGCTTGTACTAGTCCGGACTATAGTAATTTATAGTGCTGGCAAACTGAGATACCATGAAACATGAAACATGAAAACCCCACTCGGACACAGTATACCGACTCCGAGCCGACCAGTCCTTGTTTTAGCCCTTATGCTAAGCGCCTGACAGGGTAACAAGTACCATCTTTTGACATCTTTTGGTATGAAGCGGCAGGGATTGAACCCAGGACCTTCCGCTCTCCGGGCAGACACTCTACCACTAGACTATGGAGGTGGTCCGTCAGGAGTAAATATAGTGGGTATAACAGAGCTTCAAACAGAACCTCAGTTTTATGATAGTGTGTCGCCTTTATACATGATAAGTTGGAGGAAAACCAGATGTGCCTGAGATCAAGATGTTTGGTGAAACCTACAACAATGGTGCAAGCCAACCAAAATCTTAACGGTTGGGTCTTAAAATCTTAAAGTCTGGGTTTTCAAACACACAACAAGATCCTGGCACATCTAAGGGATGCAACTGTGTACAGACAAGCAGTATTGATCCGGAACATTCTGGGATTAGAACCCAGTCTGGCAAAGCTAAGGGCTGCAGTTGTGCACAGATCAAGGATCTAAATCAGGACCCTGGGTTTAAAACCCAACCTGACAAGGTCAAGGGATGCAATTGTGGACAGACTAAGGATCTTAATCTTATCAGAACCGAACCTGGCACAGTAAACTGCACGACCTTAGGTTTAAAATTATAAAAGAATTGGTTCTCAGGAAATGACTTATGAAAATATAGTGCGGGCGGGCAGTGGTATTTTATTTTTTGGTATGTAACCAAATAAACAGATGTGTACTATCAACCTAGAAAAGGGCCTCCCTACATAAACAGGCATACACATTGTTGCCATGACCATAACAAACGATGTGCAGTAATGCAGTGCGCATGTAAAGGGAAGTAACTGTGTGCTATATTGGATCGAATTGTGTTTAAGTATTAGGATTTTGATATTTTAAAAAAAATGGAAATAGAAACGAAACATGCAGCAGACTTTTTAATGATGCGGGCTGTGCCTGAGAACCAAGACTATTATTTTTTTAGCCTCAGACTGGGTAAACCACTTTGTATCCCATACTGTATGCAGAAAGATGAATGTGTTGGTGTGCCCTCTTACCAGTGAGATCCTCCTACTTGATCACATGAGTTGTTGTCGTTGACAGCCAGAAAGACAAACTGTTTGGTTGGAAGGCCTAGAGGCTCTAGTAAAACAACAAGCTCTTCAACTGAAAACAACATGCGTTCATTATATACTGAACTGCAAAAGAAACATCAATTCATGAAAATTCTTCATGAACGTTTCCCATTGAAATATCAATGCATTTTTGGGAGGCATCTTGTTTTTGACATTAGCCTGCATCCACATTTAATGTTAACAGCCAAAGAGTGCCACAAATATGGATGTATGGGTCACCAAAATGCAGCTTAACAAACGACCATGGTAAAAAGTCCTGAATGCTTTTAAAAAAGAAATCAAAATACACTTGCGTTTCCCTGATAGATGCGACCCCAATACGTGAACCCAACATTCTTGTATTGACATTAGTGCCATGCCAAGACTTACGAAGTATTTAGAGAAACCAGGCTTCAGTACAACTGTATGCTGGCCAGACTGCACAAATGGATGCCAATACTTTTAATGTCCACGTCAGAACCATCTACAGATTATAGCAACAATACCAGGTCATCAACAGCAGCAGTCGTCCAAAAGCCTGGTTTCCTTGATTCTTCGTGAGTCACTTTGCTACCCCATTGCCCTAAACTTTCAAGTGTCTTTAGCAACAATTCCCTTCCTGATGGTAGTTCCTCTTAAAGTCTTATTTCACATCACATGAAGTATTCAGAAGCTTGGCTCCTCTTAAGCAAAGTGGAATAGGAAGCCAATGATACGCATAATAAGCCCCAACCTTGAACACAATTTAAGCACTCTGAATAACCAGGGAATACCCTGAGTAACCTGGGAATACCCTGAGTAACCTGGAAATACCCTGAATAACATGGGAATAGCCTGATTAACCTGGGAATACCCTGATTAACCTGGGAATACCCTGGGATAACCCTGAATAACCAGGGAATACCCTGGGATTACCCTGAATAACCAGGGAATACCCTGAGATTACCCTGAATAACCAGGGAATACCCTGGGATTACCCTGAATAAACAGGGAATATCCTGGGATTACCCTGAATAACCTGGGAATACCCTGAATAACATGGGAATGCCCTGAACATGGGAATAACCTGAATAACATGGGACTACCCTGAATAATATGGGAATACCCTGATTAACCTGGGAATACGATGAATAACATGGGAATAATCTGAATAACATAGGACTACCCTGAATAATATGGGAATACCCTGAATAACCTGGGAATACCCTGAATAACCTGGGAATGCCCTGAACATGGGAATAACCTGAATAACATGGGACTATCCTGAATAATATGGGAATACCCTGATTAACATGGGAATGCCCTGAATATCTTTGGAAAACCCTGAATAACAAGGGAATACCCTGAATAACCCTGGAATTTACTAGTAAGAACTCTTGAAGATTCGGGGTAGAAATGGTCTTCAGCAACCCATGTTTGCGGTAACAGGCGACTATGCTTGTCAAAAGAGGCGACTGAGGGGATCGGCTGGTCTGGCTCGCAGACATGGTTGATGCATGTCATCATATCCGACTTGCGTAGATCGATGCTCATGAAGTCAATCACTGGATTGAGTGGTCCAGACTTGATTACTTAAAGAATGCCATCCTATAGCTGGAATATTGCTGAGTGCGGCGTTAAACAGTAAACAAACTACAAGTAACATTACAAGAAATAACGAAAGAAAACTTTTCTTGCCTAAATGAAAGTTTGAAAGTGGTGCTTTAGATGGAAGGACTTCCGGACAACTAGGAATCGCTACAGGCATTGTGGGTATTGGCACAAGGTTAATGTGCCAACAATCTCACCTGGGGATAGTTTCAGTAGCTGTGTAAAAGATGGTGAGATGAAACAGAGGCGATCAGCAGAATGGTTGAACTGTTCTCTTTCAAAGTACCTGCAACAATGAATGGTATCACTTGATAAGAATGATAAGTGCATTGTCAATACCTCACAGGTTTGTATACACAACGTTCCTTTATCAGATGGGAATATAAAGTCTTATTGATGCATGGGGATTATTTTAGGAAGGAATAAAAAAGTGAGTATAGTTTTATGCCACATATTGCAATATTCCATCTATATTAGGGCGGAGACCATCAGAAATGGGCTTCACACATTGTACCCATGCCAACTGTGCGATGAGCGAACACTTTAACCAATAAGCTACCTCACTGCCCCTAGTCAAGCAATAAAAGGAGGCTGTTACATGTATAGAGCATTCTTTCCATTATGTATAAGCCACAGAAGTCTAAAGTGAGTTCTACTCTTTGCATGAATGTTATATGAACCCTACCACACTCTGGTTTCCCTCTCGCTGAGTTCATTGTTAAAAAAAGTGTGTGTGTGTGTGTGTGTGCGTGCGTGCGTGCGTGCGTGCGTGCGTATTGTTTAATGTTGCACTCATTCATAATGTTGCGCTAAATTCATTGTTAAAAAAAAGTGAGTGCGTGCACGTGCGCGTGTGTGCATGTGTATTGTTTAACGTTGCACTCATCAATATTCTAGCAATATGACAGCTGTCTGTAAGTGTCCGAGCCTGGACCAGACAACACCGTAGGGATACGGGATATGATATGTCATCAACCAAGTCACCAAGAATGACCACCCAAGCATCTTACAACCAGAAAAAGACAGCGACCTCAAAACGGTCACATGTATTTACGGGAGAATGACAAGCCTAGTGTAAACAAACCCATGAATCATTGATGACAGCAAATGGGATGATTTCTGAATGTGTTGTTCACTCCTTATATTTCTAATGCTATTTCATGCAATTTTAGTTTGACACATGCATCATTTTCTAAGCTTATAAATTCACTAGGAAAATGAGGAGTTGACTTGTTTGAACAGGTTTCTAACATTTCTCATTCATACATACGGGACCTGGTGACTATCATGATTATATTTTCTTAAGCCTTAATGATATCCATATCTTCAGATTTGATTTTTTTTTTAATGTGTGTAACACCACACTCTGCAATATTCCAGCTATATGATGATGGTCTGTAAATAATTGAGTCTAGACCAGACAACCTAGTGATTGACATCATGAGCATCGATCCACGCAATTGGGATATGATGAAATGCATCATCCAAGTCAGCGAGCCTGACCACCCGATCTTGTTAGCTGCCTCTTATGACAAAAATAGTTGCCTTTTATGGCAAGCATGGGTTGCTGAAGACCTATTCTAACCCGGATCTTCAACAGGTCCTGACTATTCAGAGTAATGGCTTCGTAATCGCAAACTAAGTGCAGCATGTAAATTCACTGTTTTCCATCAAGAGTTGCAAGACACGGCAAGAATCCAAGAATCAATATGAGTGTAGTAAATAAAGCCATCTTAAAGTTGATAGGATCAGAGTTGCGTATTAATACACACAATAAATCCCTATAACGCAATTAACTTATGGACAAATATAAGATAGCTACACGATAAATTGCAAAGAACAACGAAGAACGAGGCATGGTTCATTTCATGATAAAACATTGTTCTATCATGACATCATTTCTGGGGATTTGACCTACTCATGGTTTATTTTCCCTGCAGTGTATTATTGTATAATGTATGATAAACAACTCCCCCTTATTGTTTATTTTTTAAATATGCATGAGAAATATACAACAAACATCAGTATGATCACTGGGTGATTACCCAATCTCCCCTTTTCAGCTTGCATATCTGTACTGGTCACCCACAAATTATCGTTAACTTTATCGTGTTATTCCTGAAATATTCCATGTACAAAGCTGACTGTACCAATCACTTTGATTTTTGTGAAACTAAGACCAAACTTGCTTATTTCTGTCTAGTAGATTTCTGTTATAACGTTATAACTCTACTGAAGTGAATAATGGAAAAAGGAGCTATGTCTTGCATTTTGTAACTTAGACATATATCTGAATACATTACATCTTTCATTCTTTGTATGACGTTTCAGAACTACTTCTTGTTCCTTCAGCAGGTGAATGCAAGCAAGTGCATAGAGTTGATAAAAATGTTTATCATATAATGGGTAGGTTTCTCGGCAGGATAAAGCCAACGGATAAAAACGACATCCGTTGGGGTCATATGTGGACAGAGATGCAAATATCAAAGGTCAAGTGGGGACTACTTTCACGGTTTATAAACAAACATGGCGTAGTCCTTGTCATTCGGCGATCGAGTCAAAATTAACAATCGGGAATCTGGATAAACTACAGGGATAATTGCTATCATTATCAAAAGAACAGTCTAAAATACTGAAAATCAGTGTCTAACTGTGACGTAGCTAAGGCATTTTATAAGTTTTGGCAACTTTGGAGATATAAATTTCGAAACAATTTTGCGAGGGCACTAGGCCTAGCCAAGCAGGATTAGTAGCCACATCAGTGTTTGTAGACCTCTGCGGCTTGAAACCTTTTCCACAAATTAAAATAGTTTGATTTGGCCGAAATATGTTTAACTTGTTACCTTGTTTCGTTATGTCACTGTGTGTAAATCTGACTACACTTCTTAACGTTATGACAGGACAGACCGACAACACGTCTGAACATGTCCGTGACGTCTCATAGACTAGGGTTAGAGTAGCTTCCCTTTGACGAAGGGCAGTTACTCAAGCAGACAGACCGATTATTGCCGGGAAAGGCAATTAAAGACAATTGTCGTTTTGCGTATGTGTTGCTTCACCACTGTATAAGAAACAGATTTCAGTTGGAACTATATTGACCACTGTCACTGTCCGACTGACACATCACTTCCCTGTGACGTAATAAATATTAATGCGCGCATTCCTGGAAAACTTGCAATGTTTCGGTAATGTTTGTGAGAGAGGGAAAGAGATTTTAAAGCACAGAATTAAAGAATGACATTATATGATAAAGAGGTTATCATGCTTGTGTGTTTGGGGATGGTAAAAATCCTACATTAGGAATAAACACAATATCTTTAGCTCGCCAAGGCTCACTAAATACAATATTTTTTCCTAATGCAGGATATTTACCATCCCCAAACACACTCGCGTGATAACCTCTATATATAAATCATGATATGTTTACATAACACGAGGTGGCGTGAATGTACAAAAATAACACTATAAGGACGAATCCGATGAGATAGGATTGATGTACAAGATAACATTATAATGCTCTTGTAAGTTTATGTGATATGTGGCACACTTGAGCATCCCATTTTGATAACTGCCCAAACTGATATGGTGTGTTCTATGACCCAGATACTTGACCTAAGAGTGACCCACTTTCCTGTGTAAACGTTCATTTTACAAGTGCATTTACTCAAATATGCACGTGTATGATGCCAACGTAATGCATGTGCCACACGGGTGACATTTCGACGTCTCTGACACGTAGCAACATTATTCATGACAACTCGTGTGTGATTCTTTTACACCCTGAGTTTGCAATATGCAAATGTCTCGACTCGACAGAGCCGAACAGTGGATAGTGTAACCTTTAACCGAATGTCACGGTCAGTGCTATAGCAAATCAACACGACATATTTGTTTCAAAACGATAGCTTTCCATAAACAACCGTCACTGCATCACGATTCCGATATATTGACGATTTATTCCCCTGTGAATGTTTGTTTACGATTGAGAAAAGAAGTTGTAAAATTATCTACCAACTGCCCGTCATGTTTACGCTTCTAAGTCAGGATTTATCAATGCTCTGAGGTTAATACTTACTCAAAACAAAAGCCTATGAGCTTGTCATTTAGCCAACCTGGGTCTTCTAGCAGTCGGAGGTCTCCTTGTCGGATGAGACTATCATTAAAACTAAGAACTATCGCATCTTCGTCCTCGGCCATGGTCACACTACATACGTGACATCACTTCCGTTTAGTGCCCAGCCCCCGTAAGTCATCCAATCGAAGACACCGATGCCCTCGTGCCTCCAAATTTACTTGGTGTTATTGAGCTTGAATGAACGACCCCGAGAAAGGTCACTGACACCACGAGTGTGTAGCGTAAATGAAACGCCTTATGTGCATTGTTTACAAAATAAAAACAATATTGCATCATCTTCGTATGCACTTGCATCATCATTTGATGCAGGTGCATATTGCTTTTGGTAATTATTAATCAAACATTAACCCACTAAACTACTACAATAAACATATGTAAAGCACAAAATCAGTAGCGCTCTTACTGATATATCAATAGCTGAAAATACAATATTATGTAACGAACTCAGTGTGTTTTTTTCTGTGATTATTATCATGTATATGGTTTAAATAAAAAAAAAATTAATTCAAAATTAGATTTTGTTCAAGACAATTTTTTTAAATATTTTAAATAGGTGCATTTGTTTGCTGGCCAGTGTAACTGAATTGATCCATTTATCAAGAAGGATGCAAAATACTTACATCGGGCTTACCCGCACCCAGGTAGTAGTGCCAACAGCCCTGTTTTAAGCAAGCATAACACTTACCGTATTTGATGTAATAAGCGCCCACGGCGATATCTATTAATATATAGGCTAGTGAACAATCCCAATTAGCACCCCTTCTGATTGATCAATGTACACAAGACTAATTTATTTGCGTCTAATACGCACTCGTGTGTTATATGCACCCTTAATAATGGGCAATTAAATTCTGGAAAAATATATCTGTCGTACATAAACATTTCAGGCTGTCAGCATAAACCACGAAATTTATCTTTCAACTCTGTTTTTTTCACCAAAATAATATTCTAATAAGAGCCCCCTATTTCTAATTTCGAGAGCGCCCTAGGTGCTTATTACGTTGAATATGGTAATATCTCTTGGCATCCAGTTAAGAGCTCTTGAGTAATATCAGTGTACATAGCTGGAACAAATAAATTAAACTGGGATTTTATATGGAATGCATGCACTGTGTGTGATAGGACTGGGACAGTCCAAAATAGTTTACTACCAGGGTGCCCGACCCCCGACTCTACCCGGGACCCCGCTGTACAAGATGTGGTTTGGTACAAGATGTAAAATTGGGAACTCTGGGAAAAACTATTTCGATACAGGTAAAAAAACCCATACCATGCATACAAGGAAGTTGACTGAAGCTTCATGTCTACTCAAACTTATACAAGTCAGAAGGAATGTGTGCAGATCAGAAAAAGCGAAAATAAGCTACCTGTAGTGTAACCATGGAGTTATGTTGATATTGTCATTAAACAGTATGAGTAACCCTGGGTCCGGGTAGTCCTATGGGTACCCGGGTCCTACTCAATACCCAGCCAGCCCCACAACCCACTGCTGTCCCAGCCCTAGTGTGTGTCTACACGAACTACCATATTCGACGTATTATATTTGCTGATATATTGGCTAGTGAACAATCCCAATAAGCACTCCTTCCGATTGATCAATGTGCACAAGACTTACTTATTTGCGTATAATACGCACTCGTGTGTACCCACTGGAGATGCTTGTTTTTGTTGTCTAACGCTGCAGTCAGCAATATTGCACCTTTCCGACAGTAGCCTGTAAATAATTGAGTCTGGACCAGACAATCCTGTGGCTGATATTGTGAACGATCCACATCGTCGGGGTACGCTGACATGCAATTATCTTAGTCATGGAGTCAATTTGGTCACCTCTTACGACCATGCAGCATAGGTTGCTGTGGGCCTATTCTAGACCAGAATCCCCAAGTGTTTGGAGTTAATTGTTACAAGATTGTTACAAAACCTGTTTTTCTCACTAGGGACTACCTCTTCTTGGTTCATCTGGGGATGATATCAAAAGTCACATGTCAGAGTGAAGATTAAAGTCTTGAACCTGTTTTACAAAGTTTGTTTGTTGTTTAACATAGCACTCAGCAATATTCCAGCTGTATGACGGCGGTCTGTAAATAAGAGTCTGGACCAGACAATCCAGTGATTTTACAAAGTGTCCTCAGATGTGTTTCTGTAGTCTGATTTTCCAATGCACAATGTGATACATTGAAGACTCTCAGTCACCTTTCACTCCCATCATCTAGAAGAGGAAAAAGGTTGCCCAGTCATCTAAGGCACCACAATTCACTGTGCAGAGTTGTATCCCTTGGCTACACCAGAAATCTATGATTGTGGGTTCGAATCCTGATTTGCCCCCATTATGTTTCTAGGTTTGTCAGCACCATACCCGTGCTCGTGGGTTTTCATCAGAGTAGTAAACGTCTAAGAGCTGCATCGCTTTGGGCTTTCCTCCCACATCAAGCTGACACGACATGATGTAACTTGAACACTATTCAAAGCAGCGATAAACCAAATTCACTCACTCACTGATCATCTAGAACAAGTTTTGAGTCAGTCTCCCTTATCTCCACACTGGCAGTCAATACTGATTATCAGACTACATTGCTGAGTGGGTCCACACTACTCCTGCCTGTCTAAAAGCAGGTTAATGGAGATCTGGGGCCCAATTCACAAAGCGTTCATAAAGCCACAAGTTTTATTTATCGTTTCACAGGCCCGCCGCCCCTACTGAAAAGTAGCTGGTCTTAGAAATAAATTAAACATGAAAATATTTATTTTAATTATGAGTGAGTGAGTGAGTGAGTTGGGTTTAACGCTGCTTTTAACAGTATTTCAGTTATATCACGGCGTGTCAGCTTAATGTGGGAGGAAAGCTGGAAGTGATGCAGGTCTCAGACGTTTACCACTTCGGTGAAACCCATGAGCACGGGTATGGTGCTGACAAACCTAGAATCATAATCGGGGCGAACCGGGACACGAACCCACAATCATAGGTTTCTGGCGTGCCCAAGGGACACAACTCTGCACAGCGAATCACAGCGCCTTAGACGACTGGGCCACCCGTGCCCCCTATTTTAATTATGTCTCCTGCTAGTAATACAGAACACCCTTATACAATATAAATTTCATGTCTACATCACTATCAGTGATTTGTGGCCGCCTGCAGTTTGAACTCTACAGCAGAATGAATGAATGAATGAATGAATGAATGAATGAATGAATGAATGAATGAATGAATGAATGAATTTTTATTTTGACCAACCTTATGTGGAATACTTGACTTACAATAGGTCCAGACTATTTATAATTTTTCTCGTAACTTTGCAAAATATTTTCACTAAGCTAGCTTTATGGATAGATTTTTGTCCTAAAGCTCTGCTGGGTTTTAGGATGTTTATAGCTCTATGAAATGCCTTGTGGACCAGGCCCCTGGTACCACCATATTCTAACAGCCTCTACAGACTTGATTACTTACAGACTGCCATGACAAATGGAGCAGTAAAATTGCTGACTACGGCATAAAACACATAAACCATCACACCCACCAGGTGTAAACACAGATACAACACATTTCATTGTAAAATAGTTTATTCATGCATGACTTTCACATGTAATTTTGTTACATAACTTCCCAGGATTACCATGTATATTATTGAAAACTGTAAGTGATTTACAGAAATCTACGTTACTGTACACAACGTGGGACCTACAGGGAGACAACTCTGCAGAATGAGTTGGGAGCAAAGAATCCACTCAGTATTCTCCCTTGTTTGTGTGCTTCATGGATGCTGCGTACAATGTTGACTTCAATGTTGACTCTGCAGTCAACTGCTGAAGAAACCAGTTTATATAAGCACCATCTTTCTTACGAGTCAAGTTATAATAGCCCTAGTGATTTATACTCTACTTATATAATATGTAATTCAAATATTGCCTAAAGCTGCATCAAACGAATCCCATCACACTTGTCCCACATATAAACAATAATGCCTTACCATATTTTTATATATATATTGATAACAGTAAATAAGGTCGTCTTTTTTAAACATTTTATTTCATTCTGGTCAGTCAAAAAAGCCGCTGCATTTCATTTATTTTATATTTTTTTCATCATAATTGTTTTGAGTTGGTGGATTTGTGTCCCTAAACATATATTCAAGTGAACACGCATGTATTAACATTTTCCGCAAACATGTTAACAGTACCGGGTTCTAGAATGTAATTGACATATTTCCACCATACCTGACCCATCAGTTCAAACAAACTCAGCCAAGCTGTTATAAACTGATAAATCGTTCCAGGGAGACATACCAGTATGATGCTACAGCACTAAGAAGGCAACATTGTACTAAGGAATGCAACTTGTGATAATCTTCACACAACCCTTTACATTTCTATCGGAGTACCAAGGAATCATACGTGCCCAAACTCTAGACTAGATATTTCTAATGACTAAAAATACTAAAGACATAAAATCTATGTTTGATTTTTCTTTCCAAAACATTTGATTAAGGGAAAACATGACTACTGTTTATAGGGATACAAGTCTTGTTTCTGAGCTTATGTTTGTCAGCACCATACCTGTGCTCATGGGTTTCACTGAAGTGGTAAATGTCTGAGACCTGCATCACTTTGGGCTTTCCTCCGACATAAAGGTGACACGCCACGATATAACTGAATTACTGTTAAAAGTGGCCATAAACCCAACTCACTCACTCACTCCCTTGTTTCTGAGCAACTGTTTGAGTGCACGGTTTTTCAGTTTTTTTTTACAGAGTTATTAGAGTGAGTGAGTATGGTTTGAACAACACTTTTAGCAATATTCCAGCAATATCACAGTGTGGGACACCAGAAATGGGCTTCATACATTGTACCTAGGTGGGGAATTAAACCCAGGTCTTTGGTGTGACCAGTAAATGCTTTTATCACTAGGCTACTCCACTGCCCTGTTTTTACAGAGCATGTGACAAGGTGTCAATTGGACTTTCAGAGGCCAGCGTGTAATGGAGGCCCAGGGTCTAATAGAGGAACTACGATACTAACATTATGAAATATGTTACATAAATAGGTGATTATTGTTAGGACAGATCTATTCACATTCTTGGTCATTAGATTTCTTTGGTCAATCGGTCAAGACGCAGGGGAAATACTAAAGACAGTGTTGATTTCAGCTTAATTCCACTGATTTAAAGCCCTTGAATAAGAATAAGTTCATTTAAACGGCATTTTTAATCCTTCTTATAATTTACTTTTGCAAAATACAGGGTAGACCCATTTGTAAAATAAGAGGGGTGTCTGGAATAGCCTAGTGATTAAAGTGTTCACTTGTCATGCTGAAGGCCTGGGTTCGAATCCCAAAAGGAGTACAATGTGAAGCTCATTTCTGGTGTCCCATAATATTAGAAATGCAGAGCAAAAGCATTCTCACCCTAGTGAAACATGAAAATCAACTTGTCTAGCCTTAACATCACTATCTTAGCTCATTTTATAAAGAGTGAGTTCATATGGTTTTATGCCGCTTTTAGCAATATTCCAGCAATATCATGGTGGGGGACACCAGTATTGGGCTTCAAACATTGTACCCATGTCGGGAATCGAACCTGGGTCTTCGGCGTGACGAGCAAATGCTTTAACCACTAGGCTACCCGACCGCCCCCATTTCATAAAGAAAGCTTGCTGACAGTCTGTGTGCTAGCATTACAGTGGAGGCTTCCCTCGGGAACAGGGCTCCTTTACTTTCATGTACAATACCATATTCGATGTAATAAGCACCCCACTCTAATAAGTGCCCACGGCGATATTTGCTAATATATTGGCTAGTGAACAATCCCAATTAGCACCCCTTCCGATTGATCAAAATACACAAGACTTATTTATTCGTGTATATTACGCACTCATGTGTTATATGCACCCTTAATTAAGGGCAATTAAATTCTGGAAAATATATCTGTTGTGTTTATACACAGACTTTTCTTTTTCTATCATTTCAGGCTGTCAGCATAAACCTAGAAATTTACGATCTTTCAACTCACTCATTTTTCACCAAAATTATAATCTAATAAGAGCCCCCTATTTCTAATTTTGAGAGCAACCTGGGCTCTTATTATGTCGAATACGGTATCTACATTGTCTGTATATGTCCAGATAAAACCTATCCACCATTCTTCACATTAACACTCTCTGATTATATCTATTGAATACATCGCCAGAACCCTATAGGCTGTCATACAATGCCGCTAATATGGTTTGGGTGGTCAGGCAGGTATTGGATGATTGCCTGTCACTGTACCCTGGCGGCATGTGACTTGACTCATAATATCAACCACTGGTTTGTCTGGCTGGAGACACTCGCTTAAACCTAATATGAAATAATCAAGTTCCACCTTTTGGGGGACTTGTTATTTCTGGATTACTGAACCTCCTCTAAATGTTTATGAATATCTTGATTTCTCTACAATGCTTTAAATTTGTTTGTTATGAACAATGTCACGAAAATCCCACAAATGTTGTTAATAGGCATTTTGTTAACCATCCTCCTCTGGATCCTGTGGCTATCATGTAACCATGGTAACAGTATTACATTAACTATTAACAACAGGTGTTCCCCAAAATATACAACAAAGGTTTACTTAATTAAAATAATAAGACCCAATCTGTTTGTACTGTACAACACACCACAATACCCATGGGGCACATTAATCAATGAGATATAAATTACACACCCAATTTACAGATATTTCAATATATACCAATTGCACAAATATGAAAGTGCAGTTTACACAATACACCACACATTGGAAGTACACTTGAATTGCATCTGGGTAAGTTTTTGGCACCTTCAAACTAATCAAACATCAAAGATTAAAACAAACAAACAAACAATGTAAGGAACTAAAACCTGCTCCTGCAAATTATTGAGCAGGTACTATTCCCTAGCCAACAACATTTATGATTATCAATTATTTTTACACAAAAAATCCCAATTTTTTCCTGGTTGCCAACAGGACAAAAACACCAGAAAAAGTACTGGTGCTAAAGAAAATCATCCTTGAGTATCAAGTGTACAAGGTCTCCATTATATTATTAGAAATTCCCTGAATATTTCCCATAATAGTTTTGTTTCAGAAGTTCACTATTCACCAACTTTGCAGAGAGTGCCTCACACATATGAAATTGAATTTGATAAAGAGGGTATTATCCTCATATGTTTCTGTATCTAGAATAAATGCACACTCGGCTAACAATGTCTTTTTATTCTCGCTCTATATCATGGTGTCAGCTGTTTACTTGCAAAATGTGAGTATCCCTTCAAACACAAACACAGTTTCAAACACAAAGGATGAGATCAAAGTATTTAGCCCCCAGTTTATATACATACTTTATACATGTAGTTTTGTACAACACAAAAGGACTGGAGCACAGTAATGAATCTATTTTCTACTGGAATCATATTTAAATGCTCGTGATTTTATCTGATTAAAGACTAGTACTGTAAGGTCTGCATGATCAAGGAGTCCGAGTGTGACGAAAACGCCTGCCATGAAATACAATTTACAAACATATATATATATATATATATATATATACATACATACATACATACATACATTGAGAGTGGCCATTAGTGACATCTTGATATATACCAGGAGACAAATGTATATTTACAAATTATACACTTTGGCCATATGTTCAAATTTGTTTAAGAACAAAACATCAAATATGATAAAAATCGCTATATATTTCACAAGTGGCAAAGTGTTTGAAATTAAGGGGACACATGGGGTTCTGCATGTTTAACTTCTTTCAGTGGCATTTAGAAGTTGGTGTGATGAAGAAAGACAAGTTCTATGGATGAGCAACTTCTTTATTACAATTAGTTCGATGTTTCGGTGTAGATCCTAACACCTTTATCAAGCAAGTGATCTTGATCATCACTTGCTTGATAAAGGTGTGAGGATCTACACCAAAATGTCGCACTAATTGTAATAAAGAAGTTGTTCATCCATAGAACTTGTCTTTCTGCTGCATGTTTGTTGCAATAGTATTTGAATCTAGAGACCCCTAATCTTAACCTATAACATTAAGGCTAAGGCAAGGATGCGACTTCCCTGCTTAATTTCGGACACCGGTATGGACAATAAAGAGTCTAAATACTGATGCAACGAGGAAGCATATGATTGTGTGGTGACCCTGAGTCATCTATACAAGCCTATGTGTCCTTTAAAAAGATCAAACAATTCTCGTTTTAAGCAATATCTACATCATTAAACTTAAACGAGATAACAGCTTTCTCATTTTACTTTAAGACAAAAATCAAATTCAGACACTGTCTGAACAAGGTGTGAGTCTGTTATCTCATAGCCATTCATATCTTTGCCAGTCAAGATATCTTTCAATTATTCTATTCAGTGGGTGTAATTTAACACTTCGTTAACATTGCCTGAGCAATAAATATTAAATACCCTGAGTCACTCTTCTAGTTTTCGTTTGTCATCATTAAAACATAATATCTCATCATAGATTGAAGTAAAGTGAACATCGACCTTGACCTTTCAAGCACTGTCCCTACACTTGAGCAGCACTGTTTTTCACAGTAAAAGTTTCTCATTTGTCTCAACAAACCATAACTGGCCGACATTACTGATGACCACTCGTGCTAAATTCTGAATACCAGTACACAATCTGACATCTAGTCGAGACTATCAAATTCCAAAATTGTTAAAAAGAAGAGCTTGTTCATTTATTCCAAACAGCATTCAACTTTTAAACAAATACTGAAAACATATTCTGTTGTTGAATATTGTCCATCTCTTTCATGCCTATTTATATATTTATCTACATATTTATCAAAATAAACTAAATGACAATCACCAAGATTACTGTTACACTTTTAGATTAATCTGTGTTTTTGGCTTACCTTTGGGAGTCTGTACATGTGCTTTATGTTCCCTGTTGCTTTAATTTGATAATGTAAAAAGAATTGCTGCACAGGTAACAAAGTACTGTCCATTGTCTGTCTTATCAAACTGTATATCATGTATATTAACTTAGTACCGTATTTCCTCTATTAGATGCCCGGGCTTCTATTTATTTTGGACAAGCCTTTGACCCGGCGTCAATTAGAGGCCCGGCTTCTATTAATATCCCCATTTCTCTATGACCACGAATGTCCCGAATCGTCACGAAATGGAAATATTTTAGGTCCCAAAAAGGGATCATTAATTGTATCAATTGATCGACCCGGCTTCTATTTTTTGCAGTGAACAATTGACCCGGCTTCTATTAGAGGCCGGCGCCTAATAGAGGAAATATGGTACACACTGGAACCTGTGTACAGGTGTACTATGTACATAGTACATAGTGTCACATACATTAACTAAAAGTTAATAAACATGTTGACAAGAAATCATACTAGGTATATGCTTTGAGTTAAAGGTGCCATTCTATAAAACAAAATGTTATAAAAATATGTGTAAATTTTTGGCAGGTACTAAAGTTTCTTGCATAAATTAGAAGTCATCTGATGCCATGTGACTCAATAAAAAAATACCATTTCCACATAAGTCTCACAAGGTTGTACCCGTCTCTACGAGGCAAGGCAGTTAACTGACTAGAAAACTAAAAGTCAAGTTTACACACTTGCCGAACTAGGCTGGAATTCTTGAGTTACAGTTTTGCTGGACTAAAGAGTCTATGCACAGTCAAATCAAAATCACGTTACGAACTAGACATCCGGTTCGTAAACAACATGGATTTCAAAGTGTAGATTCCGGTCGACTGCAGGATTTGCAAAGCATGTGTACTGTCAACTGGTTGTCGACAAATATTTTCCAAATCTTTTCATATTTCAAATCAATGTGTTAGGTGATTTCTTGCATTGCGTGAGGTAGGACCCATTTTATTACAATTAAGATGTCGATTATCGATCAGATCGTCTTGACTGGGCAATACGAGCGAGCCACAAACTTCCAGCCGAGTTCGGCAAGGGTGGAAATTGGACTTTTATAGTCAGTTAACACCCTTGCCTTGGGAAGATGGGTTTTTACCCTATATGTCACGGACAAACTGTACACGGACACCCAGACAGATTCCATAATCCATGTACAGTGACAACACAGAGAAAAGAAAACATTCATGTCCCGTTCATACCTACTAGGGAGAATGCACAGATAATATCACACATATACAGAGTAGACAATATCATACCGAACAGACAACTGATTTTATTATATAATTTTGGGAATATGTTTTGAAATTGTATAATATTAGGATAAAAGAACAAATATTTGACATGAGCTGGACCTGAGAATGATAATGTATAGCTTAGATGAGGAAAATGCTGAATGGAAGAAATATGGGGAAACGCTTCATAATTTTATACCTTAGTACTTAAACAAATGTTAAGTTTGCTTAAGTATTTGGAATATCACTAAGACACATTCTCAGTTGAATATTGAATTGATTTGAGACATGAATGTATAAAAACATACAAATGACTTGAATAAGCATGATAAAAACCTTTCTTTATAGGCTATTTAAAAGTATTGCAACCCAATGATGGGATTAGTCTCAGTTATCTCCCTTTGCCTTCTAAAGCTGTATGTTGTCATACTCTATTAAACACTATACAAATAATGACATGTCATGAATGTGTGTGCACGAATGACTGATGACAATATGTAGATATTGTAGGTACAAGGTGAAATACAATCTAATTTTATGTCTTATGGACTTTTGCGAACAATATTCCATGAGTCAGGAGGCATATTATACTCACTGCCAAAAGAAACGCAAACCAGAGAAACATACAGAGAAGTATCTACATAAAGAAGAGGTGTTGTCAAAACTAAAAATCAGTCGAATGTTACCACAGTGTGTCTTTATTCTTATCAGATATGCTGCACATGATTTCAAAACTTTACACATTAATCCTGCATGAAACAAATGTGCATCTCATACAACATAACAGCATCCTCGTTTGTGCATCTCATACAACATAACAGCATCCTCGTTTGTGCATCTCATACAACATAACAGCATCCTCATTTGTGCATCAAACTAATCTAACATCTCTTGAAATGGAGTAACTTTTCATAAATTAACCTCCGTGTATGGTATTCATGTTTCTTTTGGCAGTGAGTATATAATGTTTTTGTCAGAGTTGATATGGGGTTGATTTTTGCAAGTTTTAACAAAAACACAAAAAAACATATTTAAAAAAAAGAATCACGAAATTAATTTGCTTTTTCAGATGATATATAGAACAAGAAGTAAATTGGTTCGGTCTGCAGTATGATATGCGCAAGACTGCCATCACATAGAATGCCCTGTGTTGAGACACACTAGGTATGTATAAAGCTGGAATGTGTCACAAAGTGTCGTGTAGACCCACAGCAAGCTCCATCTGCTCCAGGTAACGGGACTTCATTGGTAGAAAGTACCGACTGTCCGACGACACTGTATCACACTGCAACAAACAGACATAGAATACTTCTTGTCAAAAATCAGGATGTAAGAAAACATACAACTTTATGGATAACAACTTCTGGTTTATTTCAGCGAGACCCGTGAAGATCCGGGGTAGAACAGGTCTTCAGCAACCCATGCTTGCCGTAAAAGGTGACTATGCTTGTAACGGGATCGGGTGGTCAGGCTCGCTGACTTGGTTGATGCATGTCATTGTATCCCAATTGCGTGGATTGATGCTCATGATATCAATCACTGGATTGTCTGGTCCAGACTCGATTATTTACAGACCACCGTCATATAACTGGAATATTGCTAAGTGTGGCTCTAAACATCAAAAACACATACTCATATAGCGACGATGATGAAGATTCTTACAATGTCAATTGTAACATGACCCTCCCCCACCAAATATATGTATTATTTATTATGACCCCACCTTCCTGTGGCATAGAAGTCCAGTTTCCACCCTTGCTGAACTAGGCTGGAATTTCCAGGCTTGATCGTTGTGCCACCAGTGCCACTATATATGAGTTATGTCCCTTCTATGTCCCTCCTATTGACCAATCAGATTCCATCACTCATATCACTTGCATTTGCTTCAAACAAAATGGCGTTGATTAAAATCAAAACAATCTGATCCGGTGTTACACATGCTTTGCAAATCCTGCAGTCAAAATCCATGCTGTTTACAAACCGAATGTCTAGTTCGTTGCATAATTTTGACTGGACTATGCATAGACTAGTTAGTTCAGCCAAAATGTAACTCCGGAATCCCAGCCTAGTTTGGCAAGGGTGTGAACTGACTTTTATAGTGAGTTAACTCCCTTGCCTCAGGAAGTTGCTATGACCCTGCCCTATAGATTGTCCTATTTTTTAGTGATTCCCTCCCCGACATGTGAATCGTCACACCCCTAATCAGACAAAGTATAATGGACATATATCGTCCCGCACTCAGACTCACATTTGACTTGTTTGTGCGAACATCCACCACGGCTGCCGATGGAATGGGTGTCTGGGGCTGCCATTCTTCCCATGACTTCTTGCGGAGTTGTCTGCTGACAGGAAACAGGTGCCCCTCTGTGGAGAACAGCCACTTGCTGGCCTCCGTGTTCACGTGATTGTCTTTGTCAAATAGCTGAAACCCAAAGGTCTTACAGCCACACTGACAGAAATTCCCTGAAAAAAATACCACAACATTGCCATGACAGTATAGGAGTAGTATATCTACCAAACAAAGAAACATGCTTGGGGGTATAAGACATATTATTCCATTAAACTTGCATGGAAACACAACTGCAATAAAACTGATGTTATAAGCAGTATTACCTGACCACAAGACTGATACACATACAGTCTTGAGAGACAAAATATTAAATACTTCGTTAATTTTATTTGAGTGGTTGAGATGTTGAATCAGGTTTAATACTGCTTTTTACAGAATTGTTGTATCACAGTGTTTCTGCTTCATATGGGGTGGAAAACCCCAAGTGATGCCGGTCTTAGACGGTCATGAACTCATAAGCAAGGCCATAGTGCTGAATATCAAAGGATCTCTGCACAGTGACATCTGCTGCTAAGGGCCATCTTTGCCAATTTTGTTTTGAAAATGAACCTCAGTAGATTGATAAAAGTAAAACATGAACTGTAGACTTGGAAGAAGGTTTGTTTGTTTGTTGCTTAATGCTGCACTCAGCAATATTCCAGCTATATGACAGCGGTCTGGAAGGAGGTACCACCACTTGTTTGTAATATAGGTGTCATGAGGAAAAGTTCAATTGGTATTTTAGCTCTGTTTCTGAAAAGAACAACAATCAGCACCATCAACCCCTATATAAGTCCAGTTTTCATCCTTGCCGAACTAGGCTTGAATTTTGGAGTTATTTTCTGGCTGGACCAACGAGTCCACGCATAGTCCAATCAAAATAGCATGATGAAACGGACATCCTGTTCGTAAACGGATGTGCAGTTTCAGTTGATTGCAAGATTTGCAAAATATGTCGGCATCGACAGATATTTTCCAAAACTTTTCATGTTTTTATTCAATGTGCTCAAGCAATTTGATGTACTTCGCGAGGTAAAGCATGTTTTATTACAATAAAGATCTTGACAATGGATCAGATCGCTTTGACTGAGCTCGGCTATTTTGTTTGAGGCAAATGCACGTAACATAATAGGGGGAATTTGATTGACAAAGAAGCGACATAAATCGTAACAACCACTGGTTGGGCTATGATCGAGACATGAATTTTCAGTCTAGTTTGGCAAGGGTGGAAACCAGACTTTAATAGTCAGTTAACTAGCTTGCATCGGGAAGATGACCAAGCACCATCATTGGACTAATCTGGGATTCAAACCCGCATCTCAGCAGATTCTGCCACCTAAGGGGACACAACTCTGCGCTTAGGCCACATATATAACCAAGGCAACCACCATGACATATCTGATATTATGAAACAATACATAACAACCTATATACAGTAGCTTCAAAATATTATCCTTACCAAGTACAAATATTTACAAGTTTCACTAAGAAAGAAGCTCTCCATTCTGTCCTCCAAAGTTTTTGTATTCACATTGTGTATTGTTCCATACCCGCACCTGTAATACAAAAGCAGATTTAGGAACAAGAAAACCCTACAATAAATAGCATAGATATGCAGTACTAATGTTTGTTGTTTAACACCACGCAGCTATATTCCAGCTATAGGACAGTTGAGTCTGGACCAGACAATCCAGTGATTAACATCATGAGCAACAAACCATGCAATTAGGACATGATGACATGCAGCGGACCTATATGCTTAACCAGACGGTTGTACTAATGGGGCAGAGGGGTAGCCTAGTGGTTAAAGCGTTTGCTTGTCACACCAAAGACCCGGGTTTGATTCCCGACACACTATGGTAAAATCATTTCTGGTGTCCCCTGCCGTGATATTGCTGGAACATTGCTAAAAGCGGCAAAAAAACATACTCACTCACTCACTAATGACATATGTTTACATATATTATGTATGGTAGATTACCATAGGTTTACAACACTAGTCACATACTAGAATCCTTCACTGCAATATACAGTAGGCCAAGGTTAAATCAAGCTACCAGCCCTTTTACCTGATAGATTGTGATGGAATGTCCCTGTGGCGCTTACAGAAATTGATAATGCTGCTTCAGCAATTTTGCAGATGATAGTGCATGGAGATTGAGTGAGTAGGGTTTAACGCTGCTTTTAACAGTATTCCAGTTATATCACGGCGTGTCGGCTTAATGTGGGAGGAAAACCCAAAGTGATGCAGGTCTCAGACATTTATCACTTCGGTGAAACCCACCAGCAGGGGTATGGTGCTGACAAACCTTGAAACATGATTGGGGCAAACTGGGATACGAACCCACAATCATAGGTTTCTGATGTGCCCAAGGCACCTTAGACGACTAGGCCACCTGTGCACCCTGATCGTGCATGGACTTACAAATTGTGACTACAGTAGAGTGAAATAAACATGAGGAATGCAGCAATATTCCAGCTATATGACAGCAGCCTGTAAATACATGTATATAGTCATGGCCAGACAATAAAGTGGTTGATATCATGTGCAATGCCCCACACTGTTGGTGATGCCATGCACTCAGCCAAGTCACCAAGTCTGACCACCGGATACATTAGGCTGCGACCAACACAGGAATCCCCACAGCGTTTCATCTTTTGAACTTTCGATGGAAAAAGAGGTGAGGTGAAATGGGGTTTAAAGTCGCATTCAAGATTATTGCACTGACATAGTGACATGCATGCACGTATATGTGTGTGTGTGTGGCTGCTTGTACTAGTCCGGACTGATGCCGATTTATAGTGCTAGCACACTGAGATACCATGATGTAGTTTAACATGAATACCCCACTCAGACACAGTATACTGACTCCGAACTGGCCAGTCCTTGTTTTAGCCCCATAATGTTAAGTACCAGACAGTTTAACAACAAGTACCATCTGTTAACATCTTTTGGAATGATACGGCCGGGGATCAAACCCCGGACATTCCGCTCTCTGGGCAACGCTCTACCACTAGACCAGGGAGAGATGGAAAAAGAGGTGTTCTCACTCTGCTTTGGCATGTTGATTGAGGCTGTTGAGAATGTCTTTCCCCACATGCAGGTAGAATGGGTTTTTGGTGGCCTGGTAGAGGTAGTATGTTGATTCCACCAGTTCTGGGCGCAGGGGGTAAAACATGACATCCGGGGCCTTCATCTGCCAGTTGTAGCGCTCCGGCAGGGCCCCGTACTTCCTCCATATTGAATAGTATAATGCATGGGAACAGATGGCCTCCTCTATGTCACCATTCAACACCTGCAACAGAGGAAACAAGTTCTGTATTGGTATGTTAGGCTAAACAAAAAAATTGTAGAATTTTCCTATTCGGAATATTCTATAAGTAATACGTTACCACTGTTATACCGAGGCTGTTGTCTCCCACAACTGCTGCTATAGCGAAATCTACCACAGAGATCTCAATTACCTCATGCAGCACGTGCGTAGCCACCCAGCTGCCATGTGACACCCTTCACTCTTGTCTCCTGCGAGAGCAAGTGCTCGGGGGACGGACGGGCGGGCAGCAGCCCAGTGGTAACGTATTACTTATAGAATATTCCGAATAGGAAAATTCTACAAATTACATTAAGTAATACGTTACCACTGTTATACCGAGGCTGACTACCACAGTAGGCGGTGGGGAGCACCTACAACCCGAATCCTGACTGCTAGCGTTCCTTCCTACCAGCGGAAGTAAACACCAAGGCGGAAGCACTCGATGCGCATGCACCTAGCTAGGCGTTACCCTATAGGAATACCAAAGCACTGTCAAGCGCATACCGTAAGGCTCAATCGTTATTGCCAAAACGATTGGTGACTCCAAACGGCCCCACTGGATAGGTATTTCATCGCCGCAGCGGATGAGAACACTGTATCCGCGTGAGCTTAATCTTAGATCAGGTTAAACAGTCGAAAAGAGGGAAATTAATTTCATTCAGACCGTATATCCCAGAGCAAGCCTACTTAAAGTATGCATTAGGCGCGTGACCTAATTCCAGTATTTGTAAGCATGCATCACAAGGTTGGGATACACGACAGACAATTAAAGACATAATTGTCAAAATACAAATAAGGACAAAGCACACAAAAAGCCGCCCTCACCTGTGGTGTGAGTGCGCTGGTTTGCGGGACCCCAACTCCTGTACCCACGGCAGTGGGAACATTGGAGTCGACCCAGATTGACCACCGTGCAAGGTCAGACGCCTGAGGAGTTCGGAATTGCGCTGGGCACACCCCTTAGGTGCCCGCTTGCGCCGCGATCCGCGGGCCAAGACGGTGCACACTCTCCACGACGGCATCAGCAACCTGTTTGAGGTAGTGATTGGCAAAAACCGAGTCAGAACGCCAGTAACAACCTCGTAATATTCTGCGAACAGAGATATTCGAGTGTAGGGCAAATGTTGCCGCTAGCGCCCTGATCTCGTGCGGGTTTGACCCCGCTACCGGTAACCCCCGAGACCGGTACGCCAGATTGATGACAGAACGAAGCCACAACGCAATCGAGTTGCGAGTTATGTCAACCGTGCGATTAGGGTTACACGATATGAACAGACGGTCACGCCCTTGTCTACGTTCATTCGAAGCCTTAAGATAATACTTAAGGGCCCTAACCGGACACAGCGCTCTGTCCTCAGTATCAGCAGGATGTAAGATTTCTTTGAGTGATCTTACAGTGAATTCTCTCTCCGTTTGCCCGACTCTCTGATTCTTGGCGACGAAGCCCATGAGCAGGCCCAGGCGGACCGCTCCTTCGTCACCCCTATCGAATCGTACCTTGGCGACATCGAGTGCATGAATTTCGGATACACGTGCCGCCGTGGCAAAGGAGAGGAGAAATGCTGTTTTCCAAGTCACATGCCGGAACGAAGCACTATGCAAGGGTTCATACGGAGCTTCCGTAAGTGATTGCAACACTAGGGAAAGATCCCAGGCCGGTGCCCGAAGGCGGCCCTTCTTAAGATCGTGCTGTTTGAAACCCTTGATAATACCCCGTATCACCGGCTCTTTGGAGAGACTGGTACCCATAGCAACGTCCCGTACCGTAGCAACGGACGAGACATAGTTGGCAATGGAACCCCCGGAGAGTTTCCGGGTCTCTCGCAAGTGAGACATGAAACGAGCAATATCCTGCACAGATACCTTATCTGGCGAATGAATGTGATGTTTACAACACCACTACGTGAAAATAACCCAACGTGCATTATACACCTTCTGGGTAGAATCACGATGCATACTAACGTATGCCCGAGACGCCCGGCGAGAAAAAACTTTACTCCTCAGACGCTCGGTGACAACATCCACGCGTGCAGATTGAACTGCCCTGCGTTTGGATGAAGCTGACGGGTGTGAGGGTGGATCAAGAGATCCGGTCTCACAGGCAGTGGAAGTGGCGACTGCGTGACCTGGGTCAGCAAGTCGGGGTACCACGATCTGTTCGGCCACATGGGCGCGGTCAGTAACATTCGACAGCGAACTCCTCGGAGCCGGCTTGGAATGTGTGGTATCAACGCTGTCGGCGGGTAAGCATAAGCGACCAAGCCCGTCCAGTCTAACGCGAGAGCATCGTGATCGATGGCCCTCGGGTCCGGGACTGGTGATACAAACAACGGGAGTTGATTGTTGAACCGCGTTGCGAACAGGTCGACCATCGGACGACCCAAACGTTCGCACAGCCACTGAAACACTACTGGGTTCAGCATCCACTCTGTGGGGCTCGGATCCTGAGGCCTCGATAGAGCATCGGCCAGTACGTTCCGCACACCTGGGATGTGACGGGCGCGTATCTGGCACGGGACACTGTCCACCAGAGCGTAAAACTCGAACGTGAGATCGAGTAGCGAGTGACTGTGGGTTCCCCCCAGTTTGTTCACATAGGACACTACCGTCGTGTTGTCGGTCGCCAGCATGAGCCGGGCGTCGACGAGACGATGCTTCCAGTGATTGACTGCGTTGATCACTGCCTTGAACTCGAGACAAGTGATGTGAAGACCTAGTTCGTCTACGCACCACAGCCCCGAGCTCACCTCCCCCTTTAGATGGGCGCCCCAGCCCACTAGAGAGGCGTCTGTATACAGGGTCAACGTGGCCCGGTAGGGCCGCATAGAGACTCCTGATAAGACAATGTAAGGGACCGTCCACCACTCCAGATGCGGTCGGAGCCGATCCAGGAGGGCGACGGTCGCACTGTTCACCTCCGTTGCTAACAACTGGATTAAAAACCGTTGCAGCGGGCGGAGTTGGAGACGACCCCGTGCGGTGCAGTCCTGGGCTGATACAAGTAGCCCTAACAGCTGTTCCCAAAAGTGAACAGTCTGTTGCACCGCTAAGACTTTGGCAATCATCGCCTGAATTTTGTGCCACCGGTCTGGGGGGACAAAGAGGCGATGGGACACCGTGTTGAACCGACCTCCGATGAACAGCAAGTTCTGAGAAGGGGTTAACTCGCTCTTGGGGAGATTGATAATCCACCCAAATTGCTCCAAGAGCCGACGTGCGAAAACGAGATGGCGTGACAGGGTGTCCGTCATTCGATTTGCTACAAGCGAGTCGTCCAGGTACGCGAAGTACCGGACACCCCTCCTGTGGAGGAACCCCACTATGGGGGTGGTTAACCGGGTGAACAGCCAGGGAGCGGACGTGTGAATCATTCTGAGTTCGGCACTGTCCTACTTGGGAACGAGAAATATCCTGGAGTAAAACCCCGGTGTTATTTCTGGTAGAGCTAACTCCCCTACTGCCCCTTCTCCACCAACCTGCCGATGGCATCGGCGAGGATGGGAAGATCGGTTTCCGAATCGAAACCTGCCAACGGGGCAACGGTGAGCGGCGGATTCGCTTTGAGATCAAGCCGATAGCCGTACCGAATCGTGTTGACCACCCACGGGTCATCGAACACTTGTTCCCAATTCTCCCAGTAAGTCTGGAGTCTGGCTCCCACTGGGGAAGGAGAGGGGGCCCTGACAGGTTGCGGCAGGCGCAACTGTCCAGGGCCAAGTGACTCGGGTTCGCCTAAGGGCCAACCGAAGTTGGCGCTGTCGGCATACGAACCCCTCCAATGAGAGTCACCTGGAGGGGCCCTTGCCGTCCGTCGACGACTTGGGCTTCCCCCAGTTCCCCGTCTTCCCGCAAAAGGGCAGCTGATTGCCCATACCGGAGCCCTCAGGGCGGGGCTACTTCCCAGAGGAAGAAGAACCCGACCCCTTAGACCTACCGGCCGCAGCAGCCTGGGGCGCGCTTTGGTTAGGAGCGGCACCTAGGCGCCTATGCAGGGACCCAACAAGAGCAAGTGTGTGCCGAGAGTCCTCGGCAACGTACTCCAGGGAAGCATTTAAACTGAGCAGGCAGTTGTAAATGCGCTGGTCACGGTCCGTGGGAGAACCTTCGACCAGACGGGCCGCTGCAGCCAAGTAAGTGTCTCCGTGAGACATGGAGTGCCGAGCGAGGGCGTCCAGCTGGTGCAAGGTAGCTTGCGTCACCGTAGCAGCCGGTGGGGCACGGACACCCAACCGCTCAACATGGGCCTCCGCGGTAGGACCAGCCTCGGGAAAGGCAAGGTCATGTACCGGGAAGAAACCCTTTCTCCACGACGCCGGAGGCAACGGGAGACCCCGACCGGAGGCCGCCGCGAAGGCGTTCTCCAAGGAAGGCTTGAAACCGCGCAGCAAGGTTGATGCGGGGAAAGCCGTGTCGGAAGACTCATCGTATACCTCGGAGGAACCCACAGTCGTGGATTCCCTGCGGTACCGGCCGGGGCATGTCCTCAAAGAGGTCAGAAACCATGGCCACGCGGTCCTAAACCGATAGCGGGAGCAACGGTTCGGGGGAAGGACCGGTGACCACGGGAGCCGCCGCCGTACCGGTGGACCCCGCGTCCGACCCCGCGGCCACCGAAGTGGCCGGGGACGGAACAGCCAGCGGCCTATCCTGAGATAAGGCCGCCAGCTTGGAGTCCACAAGTTATGCAAGTAATGCAGCGACGGAATCCCCGGACAGCACACGGGCCGCCAAGAGATCCGCCGCTTTACCGGTGGACCCCGCGTCCGACCCCGCGGCCACCGAAGAGGCCGGGGACGGAACAGCCAGCGGCCTATCTTGCGATAAGGCCGCCAGCTTGGAGACCACAAGTTTCGACAACAATGCGGCGACGGAATCCCCAGACAGCCCGAGGGCCGCAAGGGGATCCGCCGCAGCCGAGGAGGTGGTACCCGCACGGGGACCCCGACCGGACGAACCGGCCACCACAGGGGTGGAGACGGACTGTACCTACAGCCGGTACCGCTCAAACTCCGCAGGCCCCAGACCTTCGCACAGGATGCACCGGGTGTCCCCGCAAGGAACCCTGCGCCGCGGGCAACGATCGTGGGGATCCCGGGACGACAAAAACTTTCTGCACACCCCACAACTCCGAGGAGCAGGGGTAGAGGGGGGTGGATACTGGGGACATATCCATGTCAGACATTGATTGTTTGCTATAAACAAAGAACAAAACATGGTTACAACGCACGCACCACAATGATTCACAAACGAACATTTTCACAAGAAAATAAACGAGCAATGTGAACATATAACATACACATATAACCTTTATTAAAGTAATAACTGATGTTAACCCCCAAAACATACAAGAACAGGGGAAACGTAAAACACAACGTGCTTACGCGAACCCCGCAAGTATATAGAAAAAAGGGCAGGAAGAATTTTCCGTTTGGCGGGAAAATTATAACCAAGCGTAGCTACCGCAACGCCCCATAAAAGCACAGTTTATTAGAGAATAAACTATAATAAATATCACCAAATCTTCAAGGAACGCTTCAGCAGGAGAAAACACGTCTTGCTAAGCAGACGAAGGAGACAAGAGTGAAGGGTGTCACATGGCAGCTGGGTGGCTACGCACGTGCTGCATGAGGTAATTGAGATCTCTGTGGTAGATTTCGCTATAGCAGCAGTTGTGGGAGACAACAGCCTCGGTATAACAGTGGTAACGTATTACTTAATGTAATTAGTCTTGGTTCCCCAGGCACTGCCCACATCATCATAAAGTTCATTGCATGTTTATTTTGTTGTCAAATTTCAAATTTTGTGTGTGCATTGTGTTAAAGTATTAGAATTTATTTTTTTAAAAATGGAAAAAAAACAAAACGTGCAGCAGACTTTATGATGATGTGGGTGGTGCCTGAGAACCAAGACTATTATTTTTTTTAGCCTTATGTACACTTTCCAGGGTAGTATGCTGGTTTTCTATGATATTATTTCAATAAAAGTCCCAACAAAGTCCCAAAGCTTGGGAGGTGTTAACTCAGAATAACATGGAAAATGGCCGATGGTCGAGTTTTATTTCTTTTTCTGTTGCTGATATATCACCAAAAACCAATTACAGTTATAAAAAAATGTATCCATGACTTTTTAACAATTTTCTATTTTCCACAAATATTCCCGGCCTGAGAAAATATTAAACTTCCATGATGTTCTCACGCTGCATGGGGGTGTAACTCTGAGACCAATCTTTGTTCTGGCAAGACAACATTTGCAAACCAAGAGGAGCACCAGGAACATGCATCAAACTTCAATGGCTGTTGTCCACTAGACAAGCACATTTGCCCAGCGTATTTGTCTATTGGACCATCATATCTGTCTTGAGGACCATCAAATACATCTAATAGACTGACATAGTTGTATAGTGGACCATCAAATACGTCTAGAATACCAGTATAGTTGTCTAGTGGAACAGCATATATGTCTAAATAACCATCAACAACGTCTCGTAGGCTGACATCGTTGTCAGTAGACTGACATAGTTGTCTAGTGGACCATCAAAAACGTCTAGAATACCAGCATAGTTGTCTAGTGGACCATCAAATACATCTAGTAGACTGACATAGTTGTCTAGTGGACCATCAAATACGTCTAGAATACCAGTATAGTTGTCTAGTGGACCATCAAACACATCTAATAGACTGACATAGTTGTCTAGTGGACCATCAAATACGTCTAGAATACCAGCATAGTTGTCTAGTGGACCATCAAATACATCTAGTAGACTGACATAGTTGTCTAGTGGACCATCAAATATGTCAAGAATACCAGCATAGTTGTCTAGTGGACCATCAAACACATCTAGTAGACTGACATAGTTGTCAAGTGGACCAGCATATTTGTCTAGTACATATTTGTCTAGTGGACCAGCATATCTGTTGAGTACACAGTTATCTTGTGGATCAGCATCCTTGTCAAGCCCTGGTGCAGACAAACCAGTTCCTAATGACATGAGCACTAACACATCAACTCCATACGAGCTAAAGGCCAACCCCGAGCGGTCACTCAACAACCAGCTGCGGCCACCCAATCCTGATGAAGATGGAGATTTTATGAGAGCTTCTTGTTGCGTCAATTTTGCACTCGATACCCAATCCCAGGTTGAAAAACCTCTAAAGATAAACACAAAGATTCTGGAGAAAGATTCTGTTTAGCAACCTCCATGGTTCCACTGACCTGCACACCTGACCATGCTGACTGCAGGGCATCAATCCAGGTGTTGGCGGTGTCGCCTGTCATCATGTTGACGTTGACGTAGATAGGAGGGTTCCCTTCACCATTGTTGCACCGCGACCTCCTGAATAAATACAAATCTAGTTCAGGTGAAATTTACACTAACTGGCATTGTTTCTAAAGAGAGTGGGTATGGCTTCAACCCACTTTTTGAAATATGCCACTTTTAGCAATATGCAAGCAATATAATTGGAGGGAGAAACACGGAACAGTTCAGCTTTAACCACTGGCATACCCTACAGGCTATTCCCATGTGGGGAATTGAACTTGGGTCTTTGAGGGAATGCTCTAACCACAAGGCTACCACACCACCCCGTTGTTTAATAAACATGTACCGTATTCGACGTAATAAGCACCCCGCTCTAATAAGGGCCCACAGCAATATTTGCTAATATATTGGCAAGTGAACAATCCCAATTAGCACCCCTTCCGATTGATCAATGTACACAAGACTTATTTATTCGTGTATAATATGCACTCGTGTGTTATATGCACCCTTAATTATGGGCAATTAAATTCTTGAAAAATATATCTGTCGTATATACAGTCAGGCCGTCGGCATAAACCACGAAATTTATCTTTCAACACTGTTTTTTCCACCAAAATAATATTCTTATAAGAGCCCCCTATTTCTAATTTTGAGAGCACCCTGGGCGCTTATTACGTCGAATACGGTAATCAGGGGTAATAACAGACATCAATGGACATATATAACTTCAGTTGGGAAATTTGTCTTTGACTGATTTCAGAACAGAAGAAACAGACTAATGTATTATTGCTTTCATCAATATCACATCAAGGATTATCATGAAGCAGACCTACCCCCTTCTCATATGGAACTTGATTGTCTCGTAGGATTCATTGAACATCTTCAGGTCATGTTCATCTCCGAACATAATGTATGACTAAATAAATACAAAGGAAACAATATAAATCCATCTTTAATATTATATTGCTTCCATGAAAGCATTGTGTAAGTAATGATTTTATCAAACACACATGGATTTAGCATGTTCAGTGTAAACCTTTTGCCAGTTAATGATTCTGAGGTATAAACACCGAAAACCAGGCATCTATCTGCCATGTTTGTTGTTTGTTTAATGTTATTAATACAGCCGTAAGTGAGAGCGAGACTATTTTTAAAACATCTAAATTGAATAGCAAAGCAATTCATAAACATTGAAAATGGATATCAAAATAGATGTGTTACTCGAAAACAGAAGTTTCATAATGGTGCGCGGCAACCACATCAGTGACATCCATTGAGGCCACATTTCAGCAAAAAAACATAAAAAAACTTAGAAATTGTTACTAGGGATAGAGCTTGTGCACATTCCTTACACATATGGCAGAAGATACCTAGTATTCTAGCCAATTCTGACTTCAAAACATGCATAAATCTGAACAATGACCGAAACTGTGTTACTGCACATACCTTGAGGAGATACTCGTAGAATGAATCAATCCCGGCACCTAGACCACTCATCTTCCCAACCCACTCTCCAGTCTGGATATTGATGACATTACCTGGAACAATAAGTGTGCATCTCTAATCACCATGTTTGTTTGCTTGTTTGTTTGTTTGTTGTTTAACGCCCCACTCAGCAATATTCCAGCTATATGACAGCGGTCTGTAAAATAATTGAGTCTGGACCAGACAATCCAGTGATTGACATCACGAACATCGATCCACGCAATTAGGATTGATGACACACATCAACCAAGTCAGCAAGCCTGACCACCCGATCCTGTTAGTTGCCTCTTACGACAAGCATAGTTGTCTTTTACGGCAAGTATGGGTTACTGAAGACCCATTCTACCCCGGATCTTCACGGGCCCTAATCACCATGATCAGGTTCTTTTACGTTGGTTGCTTATGATCAACACAATTGACGGAAATGAACAAAAATTAACACAATGTTAACATGTCAACATGGTTAACATATGTATCTAAAATCTGTAGAAAATTATATTCCAAACGTGTTTCAGGAGGGAATGAAGTTACTCTCTTTTATATGCCCGAGTTGGTCATTTTGGTAAACCTAGTAATGAAAGATATGTTTAACTTAAAAATACATAGCTTAAACATGTTAAAGGTAAGGACATTTGGTTGGTATTATCTGCATGACAAAACATGCCATATGTGTGTTACCAACATCGGAACCTAATACAGAAAACTGTTTTGTGTTTTTGTTATTTACAACACTCAGCAATATTCCAGCTATATGACAGCTGTAAATCTTGATATTAACGTAAGCCGTGAATTAAATGCAAAAAATGTGCGTGGTCTTTACTCCCATTATTAAACATCGCATTTTTATCAACAATAAGACATTTTGGATAGCAGAAATACCAACTTAGTCATATGCTGAAAACAAACAACTATATATTCCACATCACTGTTCATTGAGCAGCACTTGTAACAAGTATATAAACAATGTCATTCAAACACTAATTACATCCTGTGAATTTTCACTGCTTGGGTCAAGACAAAAGTTCTACTCACTTAGACAATCCAGTGATTGACATCATGAGCACTGATCTACGCATTTGGGATACAAGCATGCATGGGTTACCGAAGACCTATTTTTGTCACGGATACAGAAAATTAAGATATACAGAGTTCTCAGTGTTATGTTTGCACATTTTACTCTGAGAACTAAGAACGTTTTACCAAACTTTAAACATAGAAAAAGCATCTTTTCATCACACAGGTCATTTCTATGTGCAGTATGTCTATTAAATTGCAGATGGTCTGCTACATGGCATGCTATCCAAGTTTAACTGACCGAACAAGCCTGTCACATTTGAGCGATATTTCCACAGCATCTGCACTGCTCGTCTGGCCAAAGATTCATACACAGGATCTCCCAGCAGCCGAGACAGTATGCCAAACTCTAGCACCAAAGTCCCCGCTCCTGATGTACATGTTTCATTGATACAGTCAGGTGGTACTCCATGACGCAGATTTATCTGGAAGGTAAATAAAGCAGATGGATAAAGAAAAAAGAGATTGACGATCAGTTCCTTTGCTATCGACATGCAAAACATAAAAAAAGTTCAGAGAGCAAAGTAGAAACACATGATCATGAGGTCACTCAGAAATTCTGTCAAAATCCATACATACATTTTGATCTTAAAAAAAAAAATCTTATCAGAATATTTATTACCACTGAGCCCAATAATCATGATAACACAGAAAAAATAATTCAAATTATATTTTGAAGGATCTAATTTTATTTATATTTCAAACACTGACCCAAAGATTTGAGAAAAATTATGTACACAAACTACTGGTTATAAGAGTGTTCAGTGTTACCCTTGGATAAGGAATTCCTGTTGCTGTATTTTCGAAGGCAGGAAGAAGTCTTGCAGCCAAGTCATGTGCTAGGTGAAGCAACTCCCCTTCATAGTGTATGGGCATCATATTACCGAATGGCTGACTGGGGTCAATGATGATTAGGTGTGCTGATAATAATGCTCCCATCATCCTGGAAATTACATAAGGCATCCTCAGTAAAAAAAGCCATTTATTGCTTCAAAGGAAATATTATCATCATCCTTAATTCAGAGCAAAGATGATAAATTTTTTTTGTTTATATTATTACTATTAGTGACAAAGAAATCAAAGAATCAAATGGTGAGAATTAATACAAATTACAAATAAGATATGTAATGCTATATATAATGCTATACATGTTCATATTGATAATTTCTGAACCAGTGATAATAAAACGTCAAGCAGATGTGATAGTGAGTTATTAACTTTAAGATATGTAACTTGGGGGATAAGAAGGCTGTTTTACCGGATCGTAGTTTCGAAGACTTGAACGGTGCTTGACTTGTCAAAGTCAAGGTTATCCTTAATGAGGTTCACCGCTTTCTTAAATTCAGTTTCATTTCCCATTACCTTAAACAGACAAAATTAACTCAATTCAGCATGTTCAGTATTGCTAATAATCAGTGATAGTACATCCAGGTTAACAAGGCAAGGTGGACAACCTCCAATGTGCTTAATCATGATCAGATGTGTTAATATCAACAAAATTATATGGCATACTTGATTATGAACAAATTGTATATAAATATCAGCGTAATTTCACTAAAAAAATACCAATTAACATGGTCATATCAATATGATAACCATGAAAAAATGATGACATATTTACAGTTAACCATATAACTGGAAAAATAATCAACAAAAGGATATCATATTAAACACTTTGACTGTACAGCACCATGGTCCAAAAACAACAAAATCTACTCACAGCTAATGTGTCCAGGGCGTCCACTAGCGTCAGAATGTAGTCACCTAAAACATCATTGATGTTTATGTTGGATCTGAAATGCAAAAATCATGGAAATTTTCCCGGATGCTAACTATAATTAATAAAGAATATGTTTGACCTTCCATTTAACATGATAAATAACCTTTTATACCAAATAAATAGTTTTATGTCTGTAGATATTTATCAAATATTTCTTATTGCATGTTTTTATACATGTTATAGTTATTAAATACATGACCATAAGACAAAATAACAAGACTATTCACATGTCTCATTGTCTGTTGTTCATTGGATATGTCATCAAATGAACTGTGATTATCATGATTATGTTCAAGGTCTGGTTCATCATTGAATACAAAAAATGAGTTAGCAGAAAACGACATGTTGAACGACTTGAAAGCTACTACTGTTACTATGACTTTCCATGCTAGAAGTCCAACCACATGACCACCGGGTCTAAAAATGCCAGTGAGGGTTGGCCAATATTTATAACTTTTCATTCTTTGGCATGTTGCATGTAATCAGCACACAGCAGAACCATGATAACATGTCAAAACATAAGACAACTTAGGTTGATTGTAATCATTAAATAAACATTGATTAAAGGATGGTATCATATACATGGGGTTATAGCGAAAACGTCACCTCAGCAAAACGTCACCGGGCGAAAACGGCACCGATTGGCGAAAAAGGCACCTCGACTCGAGCGAAAACGGCACCTTATTTTTTTTACCTTGGTCAAATAAATGATATTAAACTTACACTGTAACTTGCAAAGGCCAATAATTGTGAGATGTTAAAACAAGTTTACATTAGAAATTAGCCTCTGCTCCAACTATAATCCAACTTAGCTTATACGCAACTCAACGTATGGTGAAAACATAACATGCTTTGACGAAAGATAATAGAAATTAAACTCACATCGTCTCTTACAAACACAAATAATTGTGAAATAAAACAAATAAGAAATTAGCCCCCTACTCCAATTTACTCACCGACTTTTATTCACTATACGCTTTGATGTCAGTTTCCAGTCAGAAGATGCTGAAGAAATGAGAGTACCAAACCTATCTGAAATTCACATTACGGCTTCAGATGTACCCTATACATCAAATACCATGTAAATAAACCATATATATTACCACAAAAATCGTTGTTATCGTTATTAAAAATAGAGGTGCCGTTTTCGCCCGACACATAGTAGCCGTTTTCGCCAAATGCGGTGCCGTTTTCGCCAGAGAAATCGGTGACGTTTTAGCCTGCACCCATATACATGGAATATACTCGTATTATATGGTTATTCACACGGTTAGTGCCCACTTAAGGTACGGCAAATGCAATTGAGTCACTGTCCCTATGATCTAATTAGGTTTTCATGGCATTCACTTCATGACAGTCAGTATGTATGAATGACATTATCAAATGTGTTATGATTGAATTTCTAACGAACCAACACTGTCCAACACTGGCACTAGAAGCCTACATTTGATAACAGTTTCCTCACCAGCTGCTAAGCTGTTGGCCTCGTCTAAAAGAAATCATGGTCTTACCAACTAGTTGTTGAATACTTACGGGTTGTCATAGTCTGGCCCACGCCCAGAGCAGTTTATTGGGTTCAGTTCATCTTGTGGAAAGGCGTATTTCATGTAACTGTCATATCCGAAATAAAACATGTTTTTCGATGCCTGTAGCATCTCAAGCCGCTCCGTCTCAGAAAAGTGTCCATATTTAGTGTCATATGGATCCCAGCTGCCCCTAAACAAATACAGTCTTCCTACACTGGGTACACACGATAACATTAACACAAACAAATGGTAGTACATAGCAGTATTGTTGTTTTCCCATATTCACTCAACTTTCTAGTCCATGGTGCCCTGTAACATACCAGCGGATATAAAGCCGACTTCCGTATTTGTAAGAAATAGTCCCTGATACTTTACTTGATGCATCATCTAAAAGTAAAAGTTAATGTTGATATTATCTTATTTCTAAGATACACACAGCCATATAACTAAATGTTGAAATATTTAACATTTCTCGATGATCCCATAAAACGGAAGTAAGCACCCAAAAGGATATCACTACGCATATGCTTCACAGGCCATCAATCCAATCAGAAAAGTCGACGTGGGCAGCCCATATTAAGCCAAATTGATCAGAATTATATACAATTTTAGTTGATCGTGTTGCATGGTGTTCATACATATTGTAAAATATATCAATCTTATTATCACACACCAAAATATTTACCCGGTAGAGCCCAGAGACTATATATCTTATGTATATATAAATGTTCAAACTCCTTTTTAAGAAAAGGATAAAACAACGACTAAAGATGCAGTTCTAAGCAACCCAACCTTTTCTCCTCCACATTCATTGCATAGATAAGGAAATATTAACGTACGTTTTCAAAAACTTTATTTCAAGGATATCCGCACTATAACATGGACCATATTTTTAATTTCGTTACAAATTCGATGGATACTTATATATGATTCAAACAACTTTATTTCCAGGATATCGGCACTATAACATGGACCATATCTTTAATTACGTTACAAATTCCTGTAATCGGATACTTATATATGACCAATATGCTGGAAAGACCATTGTTGTGAAACACACGACTCATACGGTATGATGCTGACAAAGCAAGGATATGTTGGGACGAATCTCAGATCCGGGCACTAGATCAACCGCGACCCTGCTACTATATTGTACTAAAGGACGCAACTCGACTACTACTACTACTACTACTACTACTACTACTACTTGGACCCATGAAGATCCGGGGTAGAATAGGTCTTCAGCAACCAATGCGTGCCATAAAAGGCGACTATGCTTGTCGTAATTAATTGATCGATGCTCATGATGCCAATCACTTGATTGTCTGGTCCAGACTCGATTATTTACAGACCGCCGCCATTTAGCTGGAATATTGCTGAGTGCGGCGTTAAACAACAAACAAGTAACACAAAACTACGTGTATCGATACCATATACATTGGTGTGTGGTACAGTCGTACACCGATAGCGGAAATAATTTATTCCCCATACCAAGTACAAATGTATATACATTCACTATCCGAGACAGTGGGGTGATTGAACTGTAAAACTCTCCGTTCTTGGCCAGTCAGATTTAACGAACGAGATATTTCAGATGACAAATCTATGATTTACAGATCACTTTTAGCAATATTCCAGCAATATCACGGCGGGCGACACCAGAAATGGGCTTGACACATATTGTTTTACATGTGGGGAATCGAACCTGGGTCTTCGACGTGAAGAGCGAACGCTTTAACTACTAGACTACCCCACCGCCCCCCTATATAACTGTAAAGCATCTGCCTTAGGCAAGGGTGTTAACTGACTATAAAAGTCCAGTTTCCACCCTTGCCGAACTACGTTTGAATTCCAGGCTGGATCGTAGCGCCACCAGTACAAATTTAACTGGACGTATTATTTAACTCCCTTGCCTCAGGAAGATGCTCTAATGCGTATATAATTAAACTTTTTTATGTTATTGGTAATAAGACCATACTGAACCATCTGAATAAAAATAATTCTTCATTCGACTTTAAAAAATGCGTTATGTCGGAAATACTTTCAGTCTGATTGATGTACAATGTTTTTCAGACTAAGATCATGAGGATCGATCAGTGAGAAAATATTAGAACAAGCTAATTTCAACTTTTTCTGGTTACTCGATTAAATCATCTATTTGAAAAGACAACCGCCCCGATGGCCTTGCTGTCTTTATCAGTTGCATCCACGGGGATCCAGCTGTGAGATACGTTTGACATATGGTAAATATTCAATAAACGACACTACGCATCACAACAGATAGCAGTATAATCAACCAATGTCTGACAAGATAGGTTGATATGTGGTATACGCTAACCAGCTTGTGCCCCGAAGCTGGTTTAGCTTGTATTGTTGATGCATAGCAATCTCTTCAATCAACATTCTACTCAGCAACATATAGGCCCATGCTTATGGGCTTCAACTGCTTGTGACGGACATGTTCATAATACACTGAATGTTGTGCGAGAATTACGCTCGCGCGGCACTGGGTCAACCTCCGACTGTGATATTACCCAGAGATGTCGAATATCACATTTGCTATCTTGTGGTGTAAATGTAACCGCAAATATTTAACCTGTTTGAAAAGGAGACAAGGCTATGTGTTGTCGGAGATTTCCTTATGCATAGAAAACAGCAAATTTCGCCACTTTTTATCGTACACCATGCATTGAAAGCATTTTCTTTTTAACAGCTTATCGAAAATTGTGGGCGAACAAATACTGCCTAATATCTGAACGACATAAACATGTATCAAATGATTATGTATGCTTATGTATATAATGTTATACATTCGATACGAACAATATAGATAATTTAAGTGGGCACGACTGGCCCAGTCGTCTAAGTTGGCGCAACTCGCTTTGCAGAGTTGCGTCCCCTTGGCGTGTCAGAAATTTTATCGATGATCGATCGCTGATACGAAACTGATACTCCTGATCATGTTTCTAGCTTTGTCAGCAACATATGGCCCCATGCTTGTGGGCCTCACCATACTGCATCAGTTCAGGATTTCCTCCAACATCAAGCTGACACGCCGCGAAATAACTGGAATGTTTCTCAAAACGGCATAAACAATGTTCCGTCACTGATGATTTTATCCCTTTTGACAAAAAACGCACTTTGCGAGCTTTGTGAATTAAGAAAATATTTCTCATTTTTTGTGTGATGTTTAAATACACCAATCTTCAGATAACCGGTGAGAAGCATATCCCTGGTGCTCCCCTCCGTCATATTGCTGTAATATTGCTAAAAGCGGCGTAAAACCACACTCACTCACACCGATAACCGACGACCCATTAACCCACAGACTTACCTCCCCATTTACGGACGATTTTATGCGCCTTTATAATCGTTGTGACTGAGTTCGAGTTCTGAGCTCATTCATCTATAAATTACAGATCGTGCTTTATGAAAAGTTTGAAAATAAGCTGTAATTAACATTGGCGTGACAATGCGATATTTCATCAAAATGTCGGGCTTTAGGTCATTTTGACACTTTATGCTTGTTTTTGTAAGGGCGACAAAGTTCCTTCTAGTATTACATAATTTCCAGGATGTTTGCAGGGATGCCATTTAAACTAAAACATTATCTCACCCGGATATCAATCACCCCATAGCGAGAACTAGGATCTGATTTTAATGAGATTGACCCGAATAGTGATAACATATAAGGACACTCCCAATGACTTTCTCGGGATGTCGGGCTGTAGTTTTCTTCCATTTATGTCTTTCTGCATACTTCTAAACCACACGGGTATATTCGAGTCACAGACCCCATGCTACATTAAACCAATGTTTTTCTTTTCATCGTATATGCGTCTTTTTAAACACATGGCTCGTAGATCCACCGACCCGAAATTTCACAATTGTGGAATAAAACTTATTTTTGACAAAACTAATTTACTATTTTAACTAAGGAAGTACATCGACCCCATTAAACTCTCTCGTCATAATTATTTTTATGATATAATAAATTTGGGTTTCCTAAATATCAAACAACTTATGAATATCCAGTCGTGATACCTATGTTCACCCTAGCAGACATGCCCCCCATAGTACGCGTAATAAAGAGGCGTTGCAATGGACAAGAAACAGAACTGGGATCCTACCATGAGCTCATACACCCAAGGTATTTCTTTATTTCTAAGTTAATCATTTTGGCTTTGTTTGTTTCTTTTCTGATTTATTTTCTTAATTCAATCTGAAAAGAAGAAACTTCTATTTCTAGAACACACTGCCATCAACTATGATCATTTGTCACATGTTAAGAACTCTTTCACGTTAATCGAAGCCTTTTCAGTCTTTTAGTTGTTCAATTAGCAACATACTCATGTTTTAGCGTTTTATTAGATTTATCTTTTCAATTTCAAACAACGAGCAACAAAAAAAAAGGAAGCAAACAAACAATATAACGCGATATCAAGTCCAAGTCTGTCAGTGTCTCAAGCTGCATGGTGCGATCTCGGAAAACATGCTGTTTCTTCAAACTTCTCTCAGTTTCCTCACACATCAACAAGAAAGTAGCCATGTTGAAATTCAATGAAGTATCAACCTTAGCGTGGCTAAGGTTGGGTCTGACCAACCTTCAAATTTTCACCTTAACTAAGGCTACCTTAGCGTAAGGTAGTTTCATGCAACAGGGGGTCAACCTTAGTAAAGGCCTAAGGTTAAAACTTAAGGATATAAGGTAACCTTAGCGCTAAGGTTGTTTTGTACAACGGCACCCTGGGATCCTACCATGACAGTCTCGCGAGATTTATGACGTCGTCATGACGACAGTTCACTCTTGATGTCGCCATATTGTTGTGCTATATGCTCCCCGCCCCAATCACGACCCCCTACGTCGACTACTTCCCTGCCTCTAATGATGACGACAGTGTCTACTGGGTCTACGAGGACGAGGATGACGACAGCTTCGTGGAGGACCGAGAAGTTTATCCTCTGAGGAAGGCGCTGAGGAGAGTGGTTGCCTTCTGGGGGAGAATCTTTTCGTAGATTTCTCATCCAGTGTGTGAGAGGATGTGTTTTTGCATGTGTGACAGAAAGTGTAAGTGTGTATGTGTGTTAGGATGTATTTTTGCATGTGTGATGGAGAACGTATGTGTTTATGTGTGTTAGGATGTGTTTTTGCATGTGTGATAGAGGGTGTATGTGTGAGAAGGTGTGTTTTTGCATGTGATTTTGAGTGTCAGTGTGTATTTGTGAGAGGATGTGTTTTTGCATGTGTTATAGAGTGTTAATGTGTATGTTTGAGTCAGAGTATGTGTTCTTGCATGTGTGACAGAGAGTGTAAGTGTGTATGTTTGAGAGGATGT